TGACTAGGCTATCAGACATGTCTCTTGACATAAATTGATATTCCCGTTGCTTTGCTACTATAGAAATAAGACGCCGACCCTCACATGCTCTAATCCTATGGCAGGTCCATGACAGGAATGTGACGAGGGGCAGGTAGACTTGGACATTTCGAAAGACTTGGGGCCCTCAAGACGCACGGATATCCAACCAAATCCAATGCCAAGTTCGATTACCATATTGAAAAGAGAAGACTTCGGCTTCATACATCCTTAGCCATGCCTCTCCCGGACTCGTATGTGCGTACGGCCCAAATTCCGTGAAACACTCGACGGGCCAACCTGCATGCCGCGTATGTCCGTCTCGAGAAAAATCCGACCGGGATCGCGGACGCTAGAATGAGGCTATTATTGCGGAGCACACACGCGACCGTACCTATCATCGTACGCGCCAATGTGCCTCACCTCTTCTCTTCGCTGTCTCCGGGAGTTGCGGCTAGTCGCAGTCGATTGTTCGGTGGTAAGCACAGCATAAGAACAGGGGGGCTTCAGTTTCTTATCTCTTCACCGGAGTCGGGCGGAAGGCGCACAATGGATCTGCTAATACTTGGCCTCTCTCACATCATGATTCGTACCCAATAGCCAAAGAAAGTAAGCCGCCGGTCCAAGTCCAATGAAAGCTTTCAGGTTGGGCTAGAGCAAGAGACGTCACGACTCACGAGAAGACCGCGGACTGTGCTTGATTGCAACTAAGCCATGGTCTGACGCCATGCAAGGCCGTCTGGGCGTGTCGGACACCCAATCGACCCGGTGCCTGCGGACCGTCGGAAGGCCGGCCAGCGAGAAGCTCTTACGACAAAAAATTTCTGGCCCCTCGAATCGATCTATGATTTAGTTATAAGACCCGCCAGTCTGCCGTACGGCGCTTGCCTAGACGTGCGTGCGTGGTGTCAAAACGATCAATTGTTTTTGCCCAGCTCGAGAGCCACTGACTAATACTCTGATACAACCTGTCGCCAACACGTTGAATCGATACCGTGCCTGGTTCTTGACAGTTTTCATTCGAATGGATACATTGCCCGACGGCCTAGTCGCCTTCGGGCCTGAAGCCAACTGCACACTCGAGCTCTGCCCGCTAGAATGGAGCATCCTCCGCTACCAGCCTTCTATTCCCGCTAGCGGCGTGTTCATCGCTTTTTTCGCCTTGGCGTTGATTGTTCATGCAGTCCAGGGTATTAGGTATAAAACATGGGGTTTCACAGCCAGCATGATCTGCGGTTGCATCTTGGAAATCGTCGGTTACGTGGGAAGGCTCATCATCCACGATAACCCATTTGACTTTGATGGCTTCCTTATACAAATCAGTAAGTCGACCTTCCTAGTAAAAGATTGCAATGCCATTCTGCCCTTCCTGCTGCCTCGATATCTTACGATAGACTAATGTGCCTTGCCAGTCTGCATCACCGTGGCCCCGGTCTTCTTCTCTGCTGCCATCTATGTACTTCTATCTCAGACGTAACAATCCAATTCCGTACCATAGATGGTACTGCCGAAACTGACTTTCATATACTCCAGAATCAACTTCCTCGACCGATCGATATCCCGCTTTTCTCCTCGCCTTTTTTACTGGACCTTCATCCCTTTGGACATAGTCTCTCTCGTACTGCAGGCTCTAGGTGGCGCGTTATCGTCTGTCAGCACAACGATAGCCGCAGTGAATCGGGGGGTCAACATCTCACTCGCCGGGTTGGTTTTGCAGGTGGTCGCACTGCTGGTGTTCTGCGGCTTGTTTGCTGACTACATGATCACGTACTCCCGCTCAAAAACTCGGCCTCCAATGAGCCAAAGACTCAAGTTATACTTGTTCTTCCTCAGTCTCGGTACTTTGTTCATTCTTCTAAGATGTGTCTACCGCGTCGTTGAGCTACACGGAGGTTACTTTAGTCACTGGTTTCGCGACCAAGCGTTGTTCATTGCCCTGGAATCAGTGTAAGTCCATGTCGTATCAGTATCTCCCTGTTCAACATTGCTTAACATTATGTAGTGTGATAGTCTTGGCAGTATTATCTTTGAGCATCGGTCACCCAGGGCTCGTGTTTACACGGAGAGAGGATAAGAGACCAACTACGGAGGATCCCCACAGCTTGACCTCCGGGGGTGAAAGCGTTCATGCGGCGAATGAGACCAAATCAGGTACAGAGAGAAAATAGAGCAGTTGAAACTACACCGACATATAGATTGAATACCAGTGTATACAGCTTTGGCTCTGCGAGACATTAATACATTTCCATTCTGAGCCTCCAAGGTCAGATCTGAAGAAGTATTCCACATTTGGCAGGGATTCTCTTGCAACCAGGTTTCTTTCGTGTCATACATTAAGATTTCGAGCAGTTACCATACGTGCATCATCCGCAACTTGTGATTTGTAAGTGATCAAGAATCTCAAGAGTTTCTAGTTCGCCTAATCGCCTTGAAAAACATAATTATCGTCTCAGGTTCCCATTGACATTGGAATAGACCGGATTATTTTTGGAGACTTAATGCAGATCAACAAGAAGCTAGGCTTTGTGCGTGATGCTTTCAGAGAAGCATGGTTTGGTAGCAATGAGCGATATACAGCAGGTGAGCTCTGATACATGTACGCCGTACGGCCAGGACAAATATTCAAGCCAGAGCAGGCATACGGCACCACTGGTTGACTTGAACATCAACAGACTTACAAGGGTCAAAGACAATGATATTCATGGCCTAGAACGCCAGAATCAAGTGAAACATGTAAGCACCTTCAGAACTAAACACATGTGTTACTGGTGCTCATCATTTCGCACCGTCTGGACGGCTGACAGATATACGCACTAATCAGGTTCTTGTCCAAACAAGGCGGGGGGCTGTCAGTCTTCATCAGCTTTCAAGTCAGTAGAGTGTACTTTGCAGAGTAAGATGGCCAAATAACAAACATCACAGGTTCCGACTGACGGGCAAAAGGTTCAAGTCAACAATCTTTACTAGCTTCGCCGATCTGAACCAGACGTTACGATGAGGACCAATCGCAAGGTTAAAAGAACAAGGATGACTAGTTTAAGGCAGGAACCTTCACGCCCGCTCGAAAACAAACAGACCGAATCTGCGATCCAGGAAGGGGATTCTTTCGTAGATCCTGATGGTTGAGGATACAGAGTGGGTGTTATATGCTTAGTCATCAACAGTTGGTCGGTGAGTGTAGTCCAGTGCTCACCGAGGCGGGAAGCTCCCGTTGTCGAAAAGTACCGAAGCTGCAGCACGAACCAGCGTTGAAAGCTGGCAATTGAAGCCTCCATGTCCTCCCATGTAAAACTCTCGCGGGTGTGTCTGCGGCCCGTCGGCTCAAGGGGCATCCGTCAATTGACCCGTCAACAAAGGCGTTCGCAACATGACTTCAACCACTTCGTCCGGACAGGTACAGTATGCCCAGCTGCCCTGCACTTGCGCCAGAGCTAACGGCAACTCCTAGAAGCTGCCGATGCGACGGTCACTTCTCCCCCGACGGAGACGAGTACGAGGATATTGTTCAAGCTAGCAGTAAAGGACAACATCGCGACTCAGGACCTGCCGACAACATGCTCCTCGGCCATCCTCTCCTCCTACAGGAGCCCCTACGAGGCCACCATCGTGCGCCAACTCCGAGAACGAGGCGCTCACGTCGTTGGCAAGACGAACATGGATGAGTTCGGTATGGGATCGCACTCGCTGAACTCAATACACGGGCCGGTGCTTAACCCGCTGTCGCCGGTCGCCACCTCGGCAGGCGGGAGCTCTGGAGGGAGCGCGGTCGCGGTTCAGACGGGCGAGGCGGACGTGGCGTTAGGCACGGACACAGGAGGCTCGATTCGTCTTCCGGCGGCGTACTGCGGTGTTGTGGGATACAAGCCTTCGTACGGCATGCTCTCTAGGTTCGGCGTCGTGCCGTATGCGAACTCGCTCGACACTGTCGGCCTGCTTGCGAAGGAGGTGGGCGTCATCGAGGACCTGGTGTTCGGCACCGGCCTCGACGGGGAGCACGACGCTCGGGACCCGACATCCCTTTCGCAGAGCTTCAGAAAGAGACAGCAGGGCCAAGGTACGGACCGCCGCTCACGCCTCAGAGTTGGCATCCCTCTTGAGTACAACATCGAGGAGCTGGACCCCAAGATCAGAGCCGCGTGGTCCGACGCGGCAGACAAGCTCAAGCGGTCGGGCATTGACGTCGTTCCAGTGTCCCTCCCGTCGACCAAGCACGCTCTCTCGGCGTACTACGTCATCGCGCCCGCCGAGGCCTCTTCCAACCTCGCAAAGTACGACGGCGTCCGTTACGGGACCCGCGGTGATGAGAGCGACGGCGCGGGCGAGGTCCTCTACTCCAAGACGCGCGGTCTCGGCCTTGGCGACGAGGTCCGGCGCCGCATCCTCCTCGGGTCCTACAGCCTGAGCTCCGAGGCCATGGACAACTACTTCGTCCAGGCGCAGCGGGTGCGCAGGCTTGTGCAGCGCGACTTCGACCGCGTCTTCCGGTTGGCGAACCCGCTGTATGACGAGCGGCAGTTCGACCTGAGCGACATAGGGGACGGGGTCGAGCTGCAGGACAAGTTGGGGCCGTCGCAGGTCGACTTCCTGCTGTGCCCCACCGCGCCGACGTTCGCGCCGCGGATCGAGGAGATCGAGCGCCAGACGCCGGTGCAGGTGTACATGAACGATGTCTTCACCGTGCCGGCGAGCCTGGCGGGGCTACCCGCCATCAGTATCCCGACAAGGGTCGACGCGCCTCACGCCGAGGCGGATGCCAGCCGCAGGGTGGCCGGGCTGCAGCTGATCGGCCAGTACTGGGACGACAGGCGGCTGCTCGGTGTTGCCAAGGACCTCTCCCGTCTTATCTCTACCTAACGAGGTTCGCTAGAGGGTGGGTAACAAGCATTCGCTTGTTTGAGCAGGTTCTCGAGAAAGTTCACATAGTGGCGTGACGGAAAGGTCGCCAATTCTCAAACTGTAAACTAGGATAAAAAAAAATTATACCCACGATGTTCATCATGCACGCAAACAGGTCTCTCATTTTGTCTTTGCTTTTGCCCTCGTCGGAGCAGAAAGCTGGGTATCATATTCGGCTAACATTGCTTGTTCAGAGAGACCTCTGCCTGCTTCTTGATCTCGACCTCGACCGCGATCTCGACCGCCTCTCCACATCCATCGGCTCGCCGTCGCCGCTTCTATCCTCCGCAACCTCCCCCTCCGACGACCCGTCCGCGCCGTTTGCCCCGGCGTTGGCCTCCCTCTCCTCCTCCTCTAGCAGCTCGTCTATATCCCCCAACGGGCTGATCCTCTCCTCCAGCTCGTCCAGGTCCACGAGGTCGGACCTCTTGGGCAGCTCCCTGAAACTGGTCGCGCAGACTCTCGTCTTGGTCAAGAGGTCGTCAACGAAGTCGTCCATGTACGTCAGGCTCGTGCCCTGCCGGCCCTTCCGCCTTAGCTTCCTCCGGTCCTCCAGGAAGGGCTCCAGCAGGAGGTAGACGTCCCTCGGCCTCCTTGTCATGCGGATGTAGAAGCACGCCAGCGCGCGCAGGTACTTGAACTTGTCCCCACCGAAGCCGAGGTACGTCTCGAGGACGGCGTCCGAGGGCGCGAGCTGCAGCAGCTTGAAGGCCAGGCACAGGAAGGGTGTGGGCTTCTGCGTGACCCCGTAGGTACCGCCGATGAAGGAAACGTGCTCGACGACGCGATCGACAATGTCGGCCTCATTGACGGCGAAGCACTGCTCCTTGTAAAAGTACGAGTCGATGATGCGCTCGCGCACGGCCTTCTCCATGATCGTGGCCGGGTTCTCGCCGTTGGGCGCCAGCGAGGCCGAGGAGCCGCGCTCGTCGAGGAAGCGCCGCTCGTCGGCGTAGACAAGGTCCGGTTTGCTCATCGTTGCGACGGTCTGTGTGGTGGTTTTTCCCCCCTTATTTTTTCTTCTTCGGTTTGGAGGCGATTCGGGTGGTTGGTTTGATGGGCGGCCGAAAGCTCGCTATAGGATGGATCAGGATGAATCGGCCTACGAGAAGGTTCGCCAAGGACGACACTCACTAGTCGAGAGGATTCGCAATGCGGAGAATGACAGCTCGCTCGGGGTGGTGGGGTGGCAGTGACGTGACAGTAGCTCGCTCGATACTGATCGGTGTGATGCAGGGGGAAAAGCTGGAGGTCCGCGGCGAATCAACGGCGCTTATCGATTGTTGCCGTGCGAACCAAGTAAACAGCCCACTTCCAAGTTCACGCCTGCGCCGCGATACAACTGGCGTATGCGGCACTGGATCAAGAAGAAAAGACGACGGAGTTGGCGAGTCTCAAATATCGAGGAAACATCAACACAATTTATCGCATATTTTCAAAGCGATTAGGATCTGCAATATTTACACAATATAACACCAATTTCCAAAGCAAGGAGGACTTGCAAGACAAAAAACCTACCGAGAATTCCACAGCTACCATGGTGCTCCTCACATCCTCCCAAGTCTCAGTCCTCCTCTCCTCGGCCATCGGTAACACCCGCCCCCCCTCCTCTCCGTTCCCGCATTACAGTCCCACACCTCTAGAGAAATGAACAAAAGAAAGAGAGAAAGAGAGAGAGAGTGTGTGTGTGAACAAACAAACAGCTAACCTCCCGTTGTGCGTCCTGCGCGAACGCGTGCCATGGGCCCCGTTTGCTGCGAAACGCACACTCGCATCAATCTAGTCGTATCCTGTACCGCAGCCCTGTTCCTCAGCGGCTATGTAATCCAACAGCGCACCCTCGGGCAGCTGCGTCAGGCCATCAAGCCCGAGTCGAGGTCCTCGCCCAAGGCGTCGTATTACGTGCCCGAACACCTCAAGGCCGCCGACGGCGCAGGGAAACAGGACCAGATCATCATCGAGGTGAAGCCCACGGTGCCCGAGCGGCAGAAACAGCAGCAAGACAAGAAGAAGGCCGGGCAAAAGGCGGCCGGGTGGACGTCCGACATGTGGCAGAAGATAACGAGCTCGTCGGAAAAAGAAGAAAAGGGCGGCGTCAGCAAAGAAGACCTGGAGAACATGGACGAGAGGGAGAGAAACATTGAGGGATGGAAGGTCAAGGACCAGAAGAACCCGGACCCCGAGGCGTCGAACCAGAAGCCCATCAGTCGCGCCGAGAGGCGGAGGCTAATCAAGGAAGAGCTGAGGCGGTTGGCGGAAGGGCAGGAGAAGGTCTACTACCAGAGACGACTGTGGTAGAAGGGCTGTTCGAAGATGGCTCCGCGCAGGAGCCGGTCACTGGAACTGCGGTTCCCTGGATATGTATAAGATCTATGAGATCTATGGCGTTGTTGTTTATTTGGGGGGGCTGTTTATGAGGGACGTTTATGATATCAATATGTTTGGCCCATCATGTATACTTTGTCTAGATAAGCAGCTCGTTGGAGCTACGAGCAAACGAAAGGAACGAGTTTGTGTTAAGCGGGGGCAGATCCACATGAAGTCTGTCTTTAACGCGTGCGGGAGCGACTATCCGGGCGATCTATGTTCTCCGATGAACCGTTCGTTGTTCCAAGATCACGAGCCTGCTCATCAAAAAATAAAGAAGAAGAAAAACCCGCGTGCCCTCCTCCCAGCGGCCCCATCAAGCCGGATTCTCATGCATTCGTCAGCGGGATGAAGATGGCATCATGCTTCCTCCCAAAGCCCTGGTGGCTGTGTGTGCCTCATTAAACGCCGTTTCCATGCCTAACCAACTGAAGCAAACGCCCTTAAAAAGTGACCTCCACCTCCCTTCTAAGCGTGGCGGTTGGCGGCATCCTCGAACGCCTCTCTCTGCATCCTTTCGAGCTCCTCGAGCGGAATCTGGCTGTTGGCGAACTTGTTGGCCTTCTTTTCACGTCCCTGCATGAGGTGTCAGCGGTCGGTCAGGGAGGAGGTTTGCGTGGAGACAAAGGGAGTGAACGCACCTTTTGCACCTCCTTGTGCTCGGCGGCCGCCTCTAACACGGCGGGGACGTAGTCTGCAAAGCCCAGCTGTTCAAGGGCCTTGGTGATGTGGTCGCAGGCGATGGTCTTCTTGGCCTCCTTCTCCGAGATCTCGTTGGCCTCGGAGGAGATGAGGGTGATGAACTCGACGCAGCACTCGATGAGCAAGTCGCGGGCCTCCTTTGAGAAGGCGACGCCAGCTGAGGGCGGCAGGATCTCGGTTACGATCTTTTGGACGGTGGCTGGAACGGCTATTAGCATTTCGTTTTGGAAAGACGGGATGGTGTCGCGTCAGAGGGGACCGAGTCCCACAGTGACGGCTTCGGGGGTCGGAGTACATACCCTTTGGCAAGGACAGGTCATCGTTGCCTGTGATAATAGTCAGCAATCGAATATCAATAATCAAAGCCTGAAGAGTGATGCGAATTGCACTAGCAGTCCTAGATTTTTCCAGTTGGTTATCCGTTTCTTAGCCCGTTGTTGCCGAGACATGCATGACGAACGGATCGTTGTCGCAGCATCAGGGCTGGGACTGGGTGATGTTTATATGACGGCCCGGTATGAGGGTTTGAGTGATGCCTAGAGGGCATTCAGAGGCCGATGGCGGGCACCAGCAGCGACTGCCAGGCAAATCGGCAACGTACAAAAGGAAAAGACAAGGCAAACTGAAGTGGGGGCGAGATGGGGGGAAATGCAGCTTCACTTACCCGCGAGGTCGTGGTCCGACATGGTTGCGATATGAGATGAGAGCAACGAGGCTAGCGCGGGAATGAGACGAAGATGGAAACCTGACCAGGCTAGCGACTCGGTCGCTTTGCTCGATAACAGGGCAAGACGGCGTCTGGTTGTGTCGACAGTCAAGGGCGGTGATATATGCGCTTGTGTGTGTATGAACGTGGACGACGATGGACCCGGCTGGTTCACGAACTTATACGGAGATGGCTGGGAGTGAGAAATACTGTGTAGCGGAATAGGCAATGTGAAGCATCGCGGGGTGGAGGGGGGTGGGTGCTCAGAAAGTGTGGCTCACGCTCCTGCTGCTGTATGTATGTGTGTGTATGGTGGGGTCTTTTATGCTCCTTTGGATGGGGGACATCAACTGCATTTGAACCCCCCCGCGCGCCCGCCGTCCAGCAAGCAAGTAAGTACGGCAGCCTGCAGGGCGCACTGGTCCAAAAGTCAGAACTTGCCTAATTAGGTTGCTGATTAGTACTAGGGCCACCACTAGTGTACAGATAGCAGTAATATTACTTTATAGATAGTAATTTATCTATATAGTATTTATAAGCCCTATCTACATAAAGATAAAATCTATATAGCTTATGTACACTTATATATAGACTTATACACCTATAATATATACTATTTAGTATAAGATAGTATTAAAGTGTCCTAAAAAGAATAGCCTTAACTATTTTATAGTAAAGTTACTTTATAAGTAGTACTTTTACCTTTTTTATTCTCTTAATTTAACTATTCTCTAAGAACTACCTATAATTAACCTTACCTTAATTAATAAAAATATTTTTAAACTCTTAAAATCCTTTACTAGTATTTAATTATAACTACCTAAAAATAATATAAACCTAACTAAGTCTACACTATATATCCTAGATATAAAACCTTTAATAAGCTTCTTTATAGTAATTATTAAAGGCTTATAGGAGTATAAAATAAGTATATAATAGATAAAGAACTAGCTAATTTAAGACCTAACTATCTATATTAATATTAGTCTTTAGGTTACCTTATATTATAAAGTAAATATTAATAGCCTTAGTTTTTATATATATACTTATATATAATACCTTAAGAAGTTTAATAAAAGGTTATAATTCCTATTAACTATAAAGTATACTTTATATATTAATATAATAAAGTGCCTTATTATAAAGTTTACTTTAGATAAAGCCTTTCTTAGATATAAGTAAAAAGTAATTCTAATTAATATAAAGAACCTATTAGATATTATAGAGTTCTATAGTACTATATATAAAGCCTTTAATCTCTAAATATTTCTTTATAAGACTTTACTTTCTAGTAAAAAAGATAGCTTTACTATTATACTTATATCTAAAATATAAATTAAACTACTTATCTTTAAGCCTTAAGTTTTAAAAAAATAATAATTTAAGTACTACTAGCTAAAGCTACCTACTCTTATATAATAAAAAAAAGTCTAGCCTACACCTATATACCTTAGTACTATTTAGACTAAAATAGAACAAAAACTAACACTTAAAGCTCTAGAGGTAAGCTTATAAGTAAAATTATAAAAGCGTATATACTTAAAAGTAAAAAATATAGGAAGTAAAAATTAAAAGGTAGCTATATAGGATAATATTAAGAATAAGAATTAGATAAAGGATATATAAGAGAGTATATAGGTTAAACTAAAGGAAAATTTACCTTTTAGTTTAGAATAAAGTTAACTACTTTATAAAGATTTACTATAAATTAATCCTAAGTATAATAAATTATACTTTTACTTACTTAACTTTACTACTTTACTTCTTTAATAAAGAAACCTCTAGAGATACTTTTAAGATAATATATATCTCTAAATATTACTATAGAAAGTTATATACCTTAATATAAGAGTACTTTAAACTATAAAACTCTATAATAAGTAAAAAAGTCTCTCTAGAACTAAGAATATCTTTATAGACTTATATTATCTATATAAGTAAGTATAGATTAAAATTTATACTATCTTGTTTAAGTACTATAAGTATTTCTTATACTTTTAAAAGATTAACCTTCTATATAAAATTAATTATAGAAGTCTAATTAGGCTAGTAAAAGAGTAACTAGGGCTAGCTATAGACACTATAAGGCTAATTCTTTTATATATAAATATAATAATTATTCTAGAGGTATATAAAGTTAAAAAAGTCTTTATAAAGGAGTAGTATATAAATAAAAAGTAAGGTAATCTAATTAAAAAAAGAATTTAGAGAAAAAAGTTATAAAGACTATAGTTAATAAAAGAATCCCTATATAAAGTGTAAGTATCTTAGAATATATATATAGATAAGTAAGTATTTATCTTTTATTATATAGATTAGGCCTAATATAATTAATTTTACTAACTCTTAATCTTAATATTATAAATACTTTTACTAAAGACCTAATAATTATAAAAGGTTATAAGAATATCTATATCTAGTTAAGATAATATATATTTTATATACTCTTATAAAAGATACTAATACCCTCCTATAGTAAGGGCTACTTCTATACTATAGTCTAAATAAATAGTAAAGAGTATACACTTCTGTTTAAGAATAATAGAGAAGTACTAGGTAAGTATAAATTAAGTAGTATATATAAAGAACCTTATATAAAACTATATAATATACTAGGAGTATATATTAATAGTAGTATATATCTTAAACCTAAACAGAAGTAGCTTATTATAAGTATTAATTAACTAAATAAAGTTAGGCCTTAGTGTAGTCTAACCTTTCTATTAATACTAAAGCTTTTTTAGATATTCCTATATATTTTTAGGAAAAACTTAATAATAAGCTTTATAAAGGATATCTTAGCTAATAATATAGCTATATTAGCGTATAAAAGTATAAAGAAACTTATAGCCTAGGTCTTAGACTATATTTACTATACTATCTTCTAATAAAAAGTACTAAACTACACTATAATATATAGCTTAAAGCTATTTAGGTGTTTAGTGTTACTATAGTAAATAGTATCTTTAGATATCTTTAAGGCTATATTATAAGATTTAAAATCCCTCTATATATAAAGTAGCAAGAATATTCTAATTAGAAAGATAGTAGTTAAAAAAGAGCTTAAAAATATATTAAAGTAAAAGAACTAAGAATTATATATAGACTTTATAGTAATAGTTAATTAAAAGTAAAAATTATTTAAAAGTAGTAAAAAAAACTTAAAGTTAATAATTTTTTAATAAATATATAATAATTACTATATAAGTTTATCTAGAATTTAACTTTTCTTAAATAAGTATAAAATACTATATAAGGTTATATAATAGGTAACTAGTCTAGGGTATTTTAAAGGAAAAAATTTTAAGATATATAAGTCTATATAGAGGTATATAAGAGAAAAATCTTTATATATAGAACTATAAGATTAGGTATCTAAAAACCTAGAAACATAAGGACCTAGGTAGGCTAAAACTAATATATAAGAGTATACAAGGGTACCTAGGTCTATAAAAAACTAACCTTATCTACTAAACTTTACACTTTACTATAAAAAACTAGCTAAGTATATACTATATTACCTAAATATATATATCCTTCTAAGACCTATAAACTCCTATATCCTTTTATAAAGGCCTATATCCTTCTATAAACCCCTATATCCTTTGTTATCTTCTTAACTACTACTATAAAAGTATATATAAAAGTATTAAATTAGCTAGGATATATATAGATATATATAGATTAAGTATAACTATTACTATTATTATTAAACTAAATTAAAAGGTTAATAAGATTATTAGTACTTATATAAAAGTTAGTAAATATATAAATAAAGACTAAAGTTATATAGATATATATAATAGCCTATAGACTTAAGCTTATCTACTATAGAAATAAGTATATTACTAATATAGTGTATATACTTAGGCTTAAGCCTATAGATCTATATAAGAAAGTCTATCTCTATATAAGTAGCCTTAATAGCCTTAGACTTATATAAAGTAGATAGCTTACTACTAGATTACTTATAATTACCTAGAACTATATATAAGTATAAGTATATATAAATACTAGCTAAAAATATATAGAACTTACTAAAGCTATAGGCACTTATACTAGAGTTATAGGTGTAGTTAGTATAAGTAGTAGTATTTAAGATAACTATATAAGTTATATATAGACTATTACCTTTCTAGTAACTAGTATAAGCTTCTAAACTAAGGTATATAGTTCTATATACCTATATTAGGATTAAGTTACTATTCTATATGTGTTTATACTTAAGTTTATGCTTAGTATAGATACTATTAGACACTTTTATATAGAGATTAAGTATATAAGGCTATATAAATATTAGTACTTATAAAAGAAATATATATATAAACTTATAAAAGTGTCTTCTATATTAAAGAACTAGGTAATAACTTACTAAGAAGTATACTTAATAGTAACTATATAGATTAGTATAAAATAAAGTAAAAATATATAAGAATATATATATACACTTATAATAGTGTATAGTAATTTCTATATTAATAGAATTATTACTAAGCTATATAGGAATAGCGTTATCTACTAAGAGCTATACACCTCTAATCTCTTCTAAGATAAGCTTAGCTATAATATATAAGTCTATATAAATATATAGAAGTTATATAGTTAGTAATAGGCGTAGACAGAAGTATAAAGACCTATAGGATTATATAGTAATATATAGTAATATATAGTAATATATAAGGATATATAAAGATATATAAGGAAGTTATTAAATATATAAGGTAACACTAGGCACCTCTAGGAATATATAAATATATAAAAATCTATAAAAAAAATATTAGTTTAGTAATAATTAAAAAATAAAATAAATTAGTAAATAAAATAAATAAATTAAATAAAAGTTAACAAGAGTATATAGTTAAAAGTTACTTATATACTTTAAATTAGGTATAAGAAAAGAAGAAGAAGTTTAGAAATAAGGGGAAATATATTTATAGTTAAAGTAAAGCGCCTATAATTAGCCCTAGGTATATACTTCTATTAGGTATATACTCTAGGGTATATACTTCCCTATTTATAGACTAATTAGATAATTAAGGTATCTAGGTAAGTAGAACTATAATATTCTAGGCTATATAGAGTAATATAAATATATCTAAAAGGATAATTTATTTAAAAGACTAATTAGTTATGTATAGGTTAGATTAATAATGTACAGTGTTTCTAGAAACTAATAGGGTAGGTGTAGTAACCGTTTGACTTTTAGACCAGTGCGCCCTGCAGGCTGCCGTAAGTAAGCAAACCCCAGAGCGACGGTGCCACTGTACGGATACAGTCACACACTGAGTTCCAGCAGGTCACCCGCTGCCAGTGGGGCGCAGGCAGCGGCCCATCGGCGAAAGATGCATCCGAGGTTCCGCACCGCACGGGCCAACTGACTTCCCAATCACTCTGAATTTTTCTACAACTTAAAAGAGAAAATATTCGACGATGTTTCCTGCCTCAACTCTCCTTCACACCACCAAACGGCAGAGCTTGAAAACCGCCATGTCCTCTTATTTCAGAGGAACTGGCGGCTCTGCCGTTCCGGATTGACTATGGTACGTTTTCCACTTCATCTCTCCCTCTTCCTTCCCTAATCGAAATGATGAGCCTTGTTGTCGCCCCAAACTTACGAGGAATAACTCCCCTCAAAGTGGTGAATGACCGTCCAAGCCAAACGGACTTCTCTGATCCCTCACCATGAACACGCCTTTTTCCTTTGCTGTTCTTGCCCAGTTGGCTGCACCAAATGCTAACAGAAGATTCAAGATAGGACGATGGTAAGCGCGCCCAACGCCAAAGCTCCCTGGTCCAACTCCCTCTTTTGTGCATACAAGCGCTGCCGAGCGATGATGTCCAAAACAAAGTACTATCAAATACCGACACCCAGTGACGGAGACATTTAGACACTGAGCATCTGCTATACTCGCATATTTTTTGGGACGCCTGAAATATGTGAATGCAAAACTGACTTGCTTTTTTGCTGGTGCTCCAGATGGATTCCGCAAACCGGCGGCAAACGTATGAGCATTCTTGTGTGTGTTCACGATAAACCCCACAGCCTCCCATGTTCAAGGTAGGTTGCGAACAACGCAAATTTTTCCTTTTTCTCTCCGCTCGAGTGGGCTTGCCGATGATGATGAAACATATTCCATGCTAATCCTGAATAAACAATGTGGAATCAAATATGAGCTTTTCATCTTTCGACTGAGGCATATTTCTATATCAATGTTTTTTTTTTCTTCTATTTGCAGCTCAGGGAGAAAGAGCAAATGGCTAACATTGTACTTAGTGAACACTCTACGCATCTTGGTATGCAGAAAGCTCTCCGGCTTGCCATCTGGGAACCGTGTTAGCATCGGTGACCCTACTCGGGGGTCGTTACGTACTTGAGGCACTTGCCAGACAGATCATGCTGAGGCTTGACGACGAATCGCGCCATGACGTTGCCAGGCTGTTCAGGTTTGAACAGCTCTCCCTTGTCGAATGACGACACGAAGGAGGCATGGTCGTCGTCGGCCATGTGGCCGCTGCCCGCTTCACGGATGAGCTTCTGCATGTCCGTGTCGACGCGGCCGGGGCCGATGGCGATGCTTGTGATGTCGGGCTCCTCGACGGCCAAGTGCGCCGAGAGGTGGTTCATGGCGGCCTTGGAGGTGCCGTAGGCTCCCCAGGCGGCGTATGCGCCGGTGGCCGCGCCTGAGGAGACCCAGAGGACACAGCCCTTGGCCTCACGTAGCTCGGGCAGCGATGCTTGCACCTTTTTTTGGTGAACGTTAGACTAGACCAGAAAAAAATAGATCAGAGACTTCTGTTCATCTCACCAATGCGAGCCCGCTGAATAAGTTGATGTCGTATGCCTTTTTCCATTCCTCGACGGACGAGTCTGCGATGCGGATGACGGGCTCCAGCACGCCGTGGTTGATGACGATGCCGTCAATCTTGCCAAAGGCCTTGATCGCCGCCTCAGCAATCCGGGGGATGGCCTGCGCCCCGTGTTAGTCTTTGCTTGTTGAGAATGCTCCCTCCCCCTTCCGAGGACGTGGCGACCATGAAGAAACTCATCCCATCTATCCTACCTACCTTGAGGTCACTCAGGTCGCCAGCGACGTACTCGACCTGCCCGGGATGGGCCGTCTTCAGAGCCTCCAGCTGGTCCTTGGACCTCGCCGCCAGGACGACCTTGTGGGAATCCTTGAGAAGGTGCCGAGTGATGGCCAGACCGATGCCCCGGCTGGCACCGGTCACGATGATTACTTTGGAAGCCATTGCGTATCGTTGTCGATCGTGGATGGTGCGGTCGTGGTCGTGGGTTGGCTACACTACACGCCTGGGGGATTGATTTTTAGGGCCTTGTGCGACGGTCCTGCAAGCAGCTATTTTGTTTCCGAGCAAAATCCGACGGGAAAGATGCAGTAAGAAAAAAGGAAGAAGAAAAGCCATCCCTCATCAAAACTCTGCCTGCAACGCAAAAGATGGAGCCGGAGGCTTGCGCCATCCCGAATTGATGTAGTGGACCGTTGTGTCAGTCAGTGTGTCCAGTGTCGCAAAGTGGGAAGTGGGGGGGAGGGTGCGTCCGATTTCCTTATCTTATCAACCTGGCGGTGTTCGACAGCTCTGGCCTCAAGAGCTTATGGTTGGGGAAACGGGAGACGGAGGGGGAGCTCCCACTACCAAAACCTCATCGGTTGGGTATGAAATTACGCTCTCACGAGTGAGCCTTGTCGCTTCGAGAAGGAGAGGAAAGATGGGCAACGCAATTGATTCTCTGCTCCGGCATCATAGGCTCTCTCGGCCGCGCGCTACCTTGCGGACCACCAGCCCGGCTGTGACGGACCACCTCGCCGGAGCTATTCGCCTCGGCCTCGGGGTACGCCGAGGGGGGGGGCTTCCTCGCGCGGGACTATTTTCCGCCCGCATCTGCCGTGCTCTGGGACCCTGAGCTTCGGCGACCATCGGAGGCTCGCCGAGGAGCACGACGGCTGGGCGAGGTAGGCGTGGTCGCTGAACACGGCCATCAGCCATGCCGCCGCACCAGCCGGGAAGGGCAGCGAGCGGGTAGACGACGAAGACGACGAAGACGACGACGTAGCTGCCGCGGAGACGGCTGGACGCGGGGGTATCGACGCGGGTCGGCGCCGAGGGCGGGGTACGGTTTATGGGTCATCAACCCGAGTCTCGGGACAGAAAGGGTCATGGCTGAGACGGTGCGGGGACGGAGGCTGAGCGCCGAGATCTTGAGCCTGGCCTTGATGTGAAGATCATGCAGAGCCAGCCTCTCGACAGGTTCGTGCGGGCGTACTCCAAAGGGATAAGCCAACCGTGACAACTGCGGTGGGGACCGTCGGCCGTCGAACCCGATCAGACGTTCAGATGGAACCCCATGCACCTCCCCTTGGTTTTTTTTTTTTCTTCTTGTTTTTTTCGTCCTTTCTTAAGAATTCGCCTCCCCCTTTATCGGATCGGTGGGCATGCGGCGATCAGCAAGCCAAATCCACATCGCCACCGTTATGCTATGAACCCTCTTTTCATGGTCCGGCGCCACGACCATGACGAATTGAGCACACCCCTTCGGGCCCTTCGGGCCCTTCTCCAACGGCCGAAACGCCCAAGACGTCTCCCCCACCCGCCGCGGCTGGGTCGGCTCAGACGATCGGGCAACGAATACGCGTACATGGGTAGGTATGACGGATGGGGGGGACGCTGGGACGGGATCGGCGTATCTACGGCAATGTTTTTTAGTCGGTGTCGCTGCCTAGTTAGGTATATAATGCACATGGTGGATTCAGGCACCATCGGCATTAGTAAGAGCCGTACCCATCGTTGGGTCCCATATAGTAGCAAATAATAAACAAGTCAACCACCTTGACCTCGATGACGATACCCAGAAATAGCCGCCCCGCGCTAGTAGCCAAAGTGTGCGCGTTTGCCTGATCCACTGCTCGAGCTAGCAGCCGAAGATGAGGATGACGGGGGTCATTGAAAGCAGAGAAGTGGTTCCCCCCCAGGCCATGAGGCTAACAAACGAGATGAGGGATGACAAAAAAAGAAGAAAAAGAAAAAGAGGGAACGGAAACGGAAACGGAAAGCAGAAATTTCTTGTACTGACACCGTCGGTGTAGAATCGAGCCCACTGGACCGCCTTGGACTATAGTACCTTGGTGGAGTCGAGCCTCACGATACGTAGCTTAATTACTGGAGACGGCTGGTCAGCTGGCTGCTCGGACATTGCCCTCCAAACCCCTTGCCTTGGTGGCCGCTGGGCAAAAGCTGTGCAGTCTCCCGAGTCGTCCGCTTCAATTCTCGCGAGAGACGCCTGCTGTTGGTCAGCCTCAAAATAGGCTGTTGCTCCTCTGCGAACCTGCGAAATAGAGTGTTCGTACGTCTTCGTAGAGCTGGCTGCCTGGCGCTATGGAAATACCCGTTGCTTTTCTCTCCTCTCATCTCCCCCGGGCCAGAGCCGTGAACCACTTGATCCAAGACTACGAATACCCGCTCAAGCCAATGCCGCATGTCTCACCTGTTCGCCTCATCATCATCGTCATCGTGATCTCTCTTCCCCCACTCCTCGTTGACAAACCTTTTCCCGGGCATCACGACCCAGGGACGCGGGTCGTCTTCGTACGGGTGTATGCTCCGGTCTGCATGTCTCAACCGTGAAACTGGCAATTTGCCACACGTCGGGCAAAAAGGAAGGGGAGGGAAATAGGACGCATGTGTGATAACCACAGCCCTCTTACGCATGTCTCATCATCACCAGCCCATCTCGTCAACCCGACAATGCCAAAATCGGTAGGTGATAGATACATCCCGCATCTACGGACCCGAAAGATCCAAGCCTCTTTTCTTTTTTTTTTTTTCTTTTTTTCTTTGGGGGGGGGGGGGGGGGGTTGCCTGTCTCGTCGTCGCCCGTGGGTCGCCTTTTCATGCCTTCTGCAGATCGAACCCGGTACCAGAGGAAGGGGGAGACAAGGGCATTGTGTTTGTCGTTTGTTTGAAGGAAGGCATCGATAGGTCGGTGTTGGAGGCGTAGAGGGCCGCACAAAACCCGCTTTTCCTGTTCATGGACGTCACGATTCATGCAAACAATCCGTCTCATCCACCCCCATCACTGTTGACTTTTATTTTGTATTTTTGTTTTGTTGCTGAATAATGTCTTGCCCGTCGTCGGGTGTCCGCTTACCGGCGGAAACCCTTGTCGGCCCCGGGGTAGAAGGGGCGGGTCGTCCCCAGCTAGGCTGTAACGAGGTTTGAAGAAGTCATTCGCATTGGGAGAGGAGCTGATGTTGGTTTTCCCAGGCGCCGGCTCCCAGCATACCACATAGCTATCTTGTCAGGGCGACCCGACCCCCCTCTTCCCCACCAGAGATAACATGACGATCACCATCTACACCGCTGTCTCCGGCCTAGTTCTCGCGAGTTTGTTCGCTCACACGCGCACGCCCGCTTCACTCTGTCTGTCTCTCTCTCTATCTCTCTCGGTCTCTCGTGTATTTGCCGAGTCATGATGGATACATACCCGTTCACCTATTCCCCTCTCCAAAGCCTGCTGAAGTGTGTATACGTGGTAGAACTGAGGGACTCCCAGGCCATGCACCATCACCCTCCCCCCACCTTCCCCTAAGAGAAGAAAAAGAAGAAAGAAAATGCAGGGTCGCGGAGCAGGAGACTAGCGCGGAGGCCGTGCCAACGTCCTCATAGGTGGCACTATCGATGTCGGACCACGGACGTGTCTCACCGACGGAGATCTGACTCCAAGCAGCGTGATCACGATGTACGACAGGCATCAGGCACCAGGCACCAGGCACCACAGATACCCAGGGTCCCAAGAAGGTTATCGTCGTCGCGGTGCGGGTCGCGCAAGCTGTTCGGCATCAAGCTGCATTATCCATGGAACCTAGGTACCTACTTGGGGGGAGCTTTGACGTTGTACAACTCAGTCTCGACCATTGCTGACTGGCCCCTGGGCCATGCTGAACTCTCTCTCCCGTTCCAGCTCGCTACAACCTCACCACTTTGAGTGTTTTCAAACCCCCAACATCATGGTAAAGTACGTACCGAGCACTCCGCGCCGCGTGGCCGCGTTAGTTTTCATCTCACGTCCATTCGCCACGCCCCCCACCCCTCATGCTTTCCCGTCCTGTCAGGCACTTTCCGTAGCGTAGCATCGTGGCCCTTCGCGCTGTTTTCCCTTTGCCCCCAAAAGAAGCCCGCAGGAGGCCATGTGGCCCCCCCCCCCCCCTTCGGCGGCCAGAAACGTGCAAAGACGCAAGAGAGCCTCGATATCATTGACGAAAGCGGCTGCGCCCCTAGGGAAAGGGAAATGCATGGGGTACTCGGTCCGGCAACACTAAACCGAAGCAGCCGCCGCCGCCGCCGCCGAAGAGACCGCCGCACGAAGGGAGCCAGATAGTTTGCAAGAGTCCTTTTTTTTTTTTTTTCTTCTTCTTAATCAGAAGCCGCGGGAACGGTGAAGCGGGGAGGCGGAGGGGGAGACGTTCCTTCTCTCATTTCTAGTCCAGCTGGTTGCAGAGTTCGTCATTAATAGCGGTGACGCTGACGGTGAGAGGTGGTGATGCTGGCGGTGGCTTCAGCAGTGGCGCCTACTGTCCAATCAAGAAGCGCATGCCGAGCTTTTTCGGCAGCGGGGGCCACGAGAGGAGGTAGTCGATCGGGCCGGCATCTTTCTTTGATCTTTTTCTAAGGAAAAGGCGCTACGTCCATTGAGGGGTGTGAATGATTCCCCGCACCCTACTGCTATATTATGAAGTTTTTTCTAGTCTGGTGTTCGCCCTCTTTTTTCTCGTCCCCCCCCCTTCGATAGCTCGGCTCATGTCCGTCTTCCGACGGGGCAGAAGGGGGAGGGGGTGGATGGAGGGACTTTCGGGCCTACTGGGCGGGCTTCAGCCATCTCTTCTTTGGCGTTTTTTTTTTCTTCTCTTTCCTTCTTTTTCCTACTTCTTCTCTCGTCTTAGCTGTTTTCGGGAAGAACGGCTTCGCGCGCCTGCCGCGATGTAGGTAGCTTCCCCTTGTGTGCGTTGCATTTTGTGGACGTAGAACCACATCGGAGTACGGATAGAGGAGGGGGGGGGGGGGGGGGGGGGGGGGGCAATTCTGGCTGCTGTACGGAGTATCGTTGACGTCTATGGGTTCATGGGCCGCCCGTGACAACCTCTTTTTTTTTTTTTTTTTTTTTTTCCCTTCCGGATCCGAGACCTTACTCGAGCTTGTGTGGGGGGAGAGGGGGGGGGGCTATTGGAATCATTGATTAGCCGGTGGGGATAATGATGGGATGGTTTAAAGATGCCAAGCGCTGCGGGTGGGCGAGTGACTGAGTCGGTTCTTCCTGGGTGTCTTCATGATTCTTCTTTTCTCGTCGTAGAGAATGGCACTGGACCAGGGGGGGCATACTTGGCAGTGGCTGGGCATAAGACGAGAGATCTACAATCGCAGCAGGTCTTAGGGAGGCGGTTCTCGCGACGCAACCCAAATCCGTTGACACCTCCGAGAGGTGTGGTTTGTGAAGGCATTGAGAGATGATCTTTCATCCCATCTACTCGCCATCTGTAGAACACCATCCATCTCGCCCGGCCTTCCAAGGTTGTGTGCATAGCGTTATCGATTTAGGGTACAGATCCGGTTCAGACCCCCCTGCTCGCATCACTATCCACATCATCGGTACCAGAGATTCAAACGCAGAGGATCTTGTAGCAGCAGCATAATGCCAGGTTTCCGACTCTAATTTAAAGGGCTAGTTTAGGGTTGCGGTTGCTGAATAAAATTACAATATTGAAGGTGATAATATATAGGTGTGTATGATGATAATGATGATGATGATGACGCCTCTCTAAGAAGCCCACCCCCAAACCCGGCGCCAGCGAGCAGCCCAAACCTGGCCATCCACCTCGGATTCCTCGTGATCCGCAAAGAGGGAGATTCTCCATCGCAATGTGACCTTCACAAACCCGACCCCGCTGGTTGATACCACAGTTGCCGGTGAATGCGCGCGTGCGCGCATGTGAACGAGAAGGAGAAAAAATAAAAATAAAAAAAGGGTCCCCCTTGGGAGATTTTTTTCGTGCCTGCCCCGAAAGAGGAGCCCACGTCCGTCGAAATGACGTCAAATTCCGGTAACGCCTCCCACCCCCAAAAGTCCGTGCACCTCGGTGCCTGACCCAACGATTGCAACAATGTGTTTGTTGGCCTTGCACAAAGCGGAGCGCAAATCCGAGAGTGCGAGTGTGAACCTGAAGATCCGATCAAGGGGATCCCCGAGAGAAAATGGGAGAAGAAAAAAAAATCCGAATGAAGCATGCTGGATATTGAGAACAGTGAGACAAGGTAGGAGAACTCGAAAGCAGTTAGGAAAAGCACGCCCGCTGATTGTATAGTGTCGTAAAGCCGTAAACCCCAGGGGATATCCTTCGCCGTTTTATAATTCGCTCCCGTTAAAGATGAAGAAGAAGAAGAAGAAAGTGTTGCCAAGGGAAGAGCGAAGATTGCTGCTGGTCCATTCCAATTAAAAAAAAGAAGAAAAAAAAACCGGATGGACGAGTGTTCCGAGAGTGCTGTAGATCAAAAGTAACAAAGGATTTGAGTTGAGCTGGGCCGTCCGCTTAGAACAGCGTGTTGGAGGACCGGGTGCCCTCCTGCTGGAAGACGATACCCTTCCTCTTCCATCCGCCGCGCTTGATAAAGTCCTCGACGCTGTCGAGCGACTTCATCTGCGGCCGCTTCGAGCTGGGCGGGGACAGGCGCTTGTGGGAGAAGTTCTGCCACCGGGACTCCCGCACCGGCCGCTCTGGGCCGACGATGCTGCCGTCCTCCGAGGAGTCCTCGTCGTCCTCTTCCTCCTCCTCCTCTGCCGCCGAGGCCATCGTGTTGATGGTCGACTCGGACCAGTGGGAGCGCGGCAGCTGCGGCCGGGTCGCGGCGATGTGCTGCTGCACCTTGAAGAGGAAGTAGTCGTCGCCCTCGGCGGCTAGCTCCCGGGACCGATTCTGCTGCTGCTGTTGCAGTTGCTGCACCTGGATCGGCGTCCGGGGCGAGTCGACGGGAGGTGCAGGCCTGCTGGGAACGGCGGCGGCCTTTGCCTGCTCGGCAACGGCGGCCTCCTGGCTTGACAAGTAAGAGTCGATGACCTCATCCTCGATGGACGGAGAGTTGTGGGAGTTGTGGATGAAGGGCCGCTCAAAGAGCCTGGGCGGCGGTTGGAAGGTGGGGTGCTGCGAGAGGGGGTCGAAGTCGAGGACGCGGCTGCGGCGGACGGTGCCCGTCGACCGGGTCGACCGTGTCGAGTAGGATTCGTTGCTCGAGACCGAGTTGGTAAGAGAGGGCTTGCGGGTGTGGAGGGCCTCGGGATGGCGTCCGCTCCTAGGGGAGGATGGCGAGCTCTGGCCGCGAGCCAATGGTATTGAGCCGGGCATCGTGAAGGTCGTTGTGATGGTGGTGACGGTAATGATGATGATAGCTGGTGTTGGGGAAACTCCCGTCGAGTTGATGCTTAGCCAAAATGTCGTTGGCCTTGGTAGTGGCTGATGTGTATGCCTATATATATGTGTAGGACTTTATTTCCCTTCCTGGTCGCCAGTATAGTCCTTCCCGTGTGAATTCGGTTTGTCGGGATATGATATATATCGAGAGGGAAAAGAGGGGACGGCAGGAAATGGAGGTCTTGGTGAAGACAAGGAGAGACGTAATGGTGAGGCCGGCAGGAGTCTTAAAGTGGCCTTAGCTGGCAGCTATGATAAAGAGCCACGCAAAAAGTTACCACACGGGCATGTAATGAATAATCTTCAAGGAGCGTGGGTTTGTGCGTGTGCGTGTGTAAGTGTATGTGTGGACAGGGGTGTCGAGTGAGTGAAGGTGATCCGGGACAGGGCATGACAGGTCGGAAACGAAAGCGGGCATTGGTCTTATTATAAAACTTCCGTGACATGACGGCAGAAACCAGGATTTCCATGGGGAACCACAAACCTGGCTTTGCCAAGCGTGGGGATGAGCAATCGGCAGTGTGTGTGGTGTGCAGCCTGGCTGCGCAACGCAGTGCAATGTCGGCGAGCGGGTGAGCCGGGTCATCGAGAGACAAGCCCCCCCCCCCCTTCCAGGGACGCTACGCTACGTCTACCCTCACGCTTGCATAGAAGAAGAGACAAAACAGGTACCAGAAAGGCGCACACCCGCTTACGGCGCACACCACACCGCACCAAGTGGGCTGGCACAGCACAGCAGCACGCGAGCCAAGGTCCCTGACGATCGAGGCCAGAAGCAGGATAGCCTACAAGACGTAAACCCAGCAGGGGAAGCCCATGCACGCTAGCGTCGAGTTGAGCCACTAGCGTAGCCTACGCCCCGAGGAATGAGGCCTGGTGCCTTGCAGGTGGCCACATACCGTACTCACGAGGAATGCCGGGGAGAGGATGAGATGAGATGAGATGGATCATGGACGATGGACAGATGACGGGATTCAGACAGCAACAAGAGAAAGAGCAGGGATGGACGGCAAGGGGGGGGGGGGGGGGGGGGGGGGGTCAGAAAGAGGTTCATGCGCATACCGATCGATGGGAGATGGATGGATGGATGGAAGATGCGAGCAAGAGATAAATTATGAATCGGAGGGTGGTATACGTATCCGAGGTGGTGCGTGTGTACGAATACGTTATGCCGAGGAGACAGAATGCAGATGCCGTAGATGCTGCATGTTTGATGTGGCCGATGACACGAGAGAGAGATAGACAGGCCTGTGAAACCAACACGGACAGAGGGAAACAAAACAGACATGGACAATACCGACATGACAAAGATACCGCATCCCGGCCGGCGCGTGTGTTATTGCTCGCCGCCGCGGCAAGGCTACGCTTACGCAGCGCTATCAGGACATTGGGGGGGGAGGGGGGCGCCTTTTGGACCGGACAATGTCACCATATCGTACCCTACCCGATACGACACGGCACGGCCCAAAAAAAGAAGAATAAGATTCGTCATCCCATTCTCTCCCGACCTTTGATGGTGCCATTCGCGTCGACGGTCGGACGTTGCCGTCTGAAGGCTATTTGGCCGCTGCGGGTGGATGGCGGCCCCTTACCCCCAAATAGTGAGGGCGTAGTGTAACATGTACGAGACCTTTCTAGACAGAGCAAGGTTCCGCGTTATTAGCATTCACCTCGTAATTGGAAAGGCTCACCACGAATTGCAAACAAAAAAGAAGCACGCGATGGAGACCCGAGCACCACAACAGCTAGCTAGCAGCTTCCCAGAGGACAGGGGGGGACTAAACCGGGTAACGAAAGAGAGAGAGAGAGAGAGAGAGAGAGAGAGAGTACTCCGTACCGGTAGCTTTAAGAATTATGGGGAAGGGGAACAAGGGGCGGGAAAAGAAGAAAACGGGAAAAGAACAGAGAAAGACGGATGACCCGGGCTGACGGAGCCTATTGACGTGCAAGGACCGGGGGTGTGTGAGGCGGTGTTGGCCAAGCTCGCCCCAAGCTCAGGGAAGCCAAACCAAGCTTGCCTTGGGCAGCAGCTAGGCAGAGAGATACCGAGATGCCCGCCAGGCTCTTCTCGCCAGTTCAAGATGACAGATTCCAAAGAAGACCATATACCAAATGCCCCACCCATTATTAGGCCTCGAAGTTTCGTTCCGGGGATTGACGCACTTGTACGGATGCCGAGGTATCCGCAGGTGAGAGGACGAATGCCCACGGAAGTTTCCATTGTCCCAAACTGCACGTAGGTACATCGCACCGTACACTAGCAACCCTTACCTTAGCTGGTTTACGTAAGGGACATTATCATAGGTAGGCATACCGTACTGGCTTGTGGAGAGGTATTACCTACACATCTGTACAAATCCCACAGCAAAAATACGTGTGTACCTACAGCAGCTAAGTCCAGGACAGGGGGCGCCGTTTTGCGTTACAGCGGGTGCGGCCTTGAACCTTCAGGAGCTTGTGGCTGTTCCGCCCCCCCTAATGGACCCTACGGACGGACGCGAGCTTGCTAAGATACGTCATCCCGTCGTCGTCATCCCAACATTTCTGCCACAAGAAACGGCTGCACCAACATCACCATAATGACTTGCCATATGCCACGCCATATCCACCCGTAACACCCGTAGCGAGAGGTCATGGACATGTGTGATGTCGTGTCGGCGCTTCCCTTGCCTTCCACCTCTTGGGGAGCCGCTATATTCCTGCCAGGGGGGAAGATATAGCAGGTGGTTTGCACTCATGATGAAAAATGGCCACTGATGAAGGGCCGCTATGGTCCCCCGGAAACATTCCACAGGGCGGCGCAGAACAGCAGTGTGTTTCATCTCTCTCTCTCGCTTCCATCTTAGCCTTCTTTTTGCACTCGACGATGTGAATCCTGATGCTGATCACGACAACAGCCTCGATGTCTTGACGTGTTTCTCCATGCTTGCTTGTCTTAACCTCTCTCCCCCCATCTCTCTCTTTTACTCCTTCCGGCCGAGCATCGTTTCAAGTACCGTCAAACACTGGAAACAAGACAAGACTCCTTCCTCCTCCGGGAACTCGTTTCCTTTTGCCATTGACAGACACCCTGCCCAAACCTTGCTTGTCCATTCATCTTTAATTTTTGGCGGAAAAATAAAAATAAAAACACCCAACTCGCGTGCCACAGCCGGTGTGTTGTAGTCAGGCCACCTGATTTGCTCCGTTCCCTTACGAGCACGTCAGGCACTTTGGCCAATGGGACCCCGTCGCAGGGTTCCGACGTTGACGATACGGATGGATGGTTACTTACCTATCTCAACTCCAGATGATAGTAGGAGAGGAGGAGGGGGGTAGGGGTGTGTGGCGCTGCTCTCCCCATTGAAGGTACATAAACTGTACACATCGCAGTACATGTCACTGCGTAGCCATATCTCTCTGCAACATCCTCGTACACGCACACACACACAATGGCGGTATCCGTAAACCGAGCGGAATGTTGAAACTTGAAACCGGTGATTGACGGCCAATCGCCTCGTGATCATCTCATCAGTGGGGCCCCACTCCTCACCCCACGGCCATTAACAGGGCATTTGCGGGAGGTTCTTCTTGCTCATCATCAATCCCCTGGTTATGGCTTCGACGATGGCCCCTCTGATCGCCTTTTTCCACAACCCCTCGAATCCTCCCGCTCTAATCATTGCCTAAATCTTGCTATGGGAAGGGAGGGTTTTTGTGGCGTCTCGCTTGCCCTCCCGCAGTTTCCACCGCCGCGGATTTCTTTATCTTGATGGCGTTCTTTTTTCCTTGGCCGGTGATCGTCGCCGTGCATGTACCGGTGTGTGTGTGTGTGTGTGTTCCCCCCTCTTCTCGAGGAAAGAAAAACCGATGAAAGGTCTATTTTCATACGAGACAGGACGGGCTTGGGGGAGGGGAACACCCTCCAGTAATCACACACACACACTCTCTCTCTCTCTCCCTTGCCTCGCTGTCTCTCATACATGGGGGGAGGGTGTTCGCAAACAGGTGACCCGTGACCCTTTCGGTGCCCTGGTCCCAAAGTGTTGACGATTTGATGCGACCTGACCTTTGCCCGAAAGAGGTGTGCCCGAAACCTACTGCCGCCTAGCGTGGGCGGACGGAGCGAGATGCAAGAGAGAGAGAGAGAGAGAGAGAGAGAGAGAGAGAGAGAGAGAGAGAGAGAGAGAGAGAGAGAAAAGGATGCGCAGTCACCTCAGCCTCTTTAGGATTGGCGTGCTGCGGATGGGGCGAGGAGGGTCGTGAACGCCACGGAACCACTAGAGATCCGCCAGCAGCAGGGGCGCTTTGCTTTTTCTTCTTTTTCTTCCTCTACCTTCTTGGTTTGGAGAGTCCACGTTCAGCCGGCCCGGGTTCCTGACGGCGTTTGGGGGGGAGGGGGGTAAAGGAAACGCGGACAAAACGGGCAAGCCCATCAGATATCTGTAAGTTTCAATATAGATTGTCGTTAACACACGAGGGTGCTCTTTCTTTTCTCTCTCTCTTTCTCTCCCTCTCTGTCTCCCCCCAACTGAGAGGAAAGGGAGGGAATCAGGGCAGGGGAGGGTCCAGGAGACGGTGTCGTCGGCAGCAGCCGCGGGTTCGCATGACAAGCGCAGAGGAGGAGGAGGTATGCAATCCGCCGTCCGGTCTGCATATCATATGCCAATGGGAGGTTTCCCCAGCTGACACCAGAGCCCCGAGCATCGCATGTTCTGCAGCAGCACCATGCAACGTACCTCGATTTAGGGTAACCAGTAATCATGCGATGCTCCTTTGTTTCCAACGCTGGCCTCTGCGCTTGAAAAGATGGCTTTGCAGAACGTTTCCACGCCACCTTAAACTTTTAACCCCCTGCTCTCTCGTCTCAAAACCCTCGTTGAGCGTGCGTTTTTTCCCCAAGAAGCGCCAAAGTAAGGCGTATTTTTCGGTCTTTCATACCGATATCTCCCCCCGCGTCGGTCCGCGCACGCCCGGAACGCCATCCAGAGTCTTCCAGCACTTACATAGTATGCAAACTCACATAGGTATTCAAGGTATCATCTTGGTGCCCTTTTCCCCCGTCCCGCCTCGGCCGCACCTTGGTCACGGCTGTCATCCCTGACAGGAAAGCTCTGGTCCGGCCTCGACCCCAGTGCCCCCCGATTGGGCCGCATACGCCATCATCACGATTGTGCTCCGGAGGCCCAAGCCGGCTGACGACTTTGTGACGGCTCAGCTGATGTCTTCACCCCCTCCTTCCACCCTCCCACCATTTCCTTTTGGGGCCCGTGATGGCTTCCCAATGGCTTCCCAATGGCTTTCCCAGAGAAGTTCCAATAGGTCGTTCCAACTAGGCCCCGGGACCCGCGTCCAGGGGCTAGGTCACGGCACGGAAACCTGCATCTCGATGGCAACTACTTCTGCGTGCGTGGGACGACAAATCTCCTTGAAGAATCCAGAGGGGGGAGCTTCCTAAGCTCCATATCTTCGATCGCGATCGTGTATTCGTTGAACACAATTAGGTCTAAATTTTGAATCACGATCGCGTAGACATTAGAACACGGCTGCGTCCTGTCCGGGGGAAAGCAGCTTCTGCCACTATCGACACCACGAAAGGCCGTTCACGATAACTATTGGAGGTGCCACCGCCGAGCCAAGTCTGCCGCACCCGTCTCACCGCCCACACCCTCTTCTCGGAGCGAGCCCCAGCATTCCGATCCCCCATCTCTCTTTCCCGCTTGCATCGACAGAGATATTTCCTCCCTCAGCATATCTCAAGATATTTCGGCCTCGCTTGCGCCCAAGCGCACGCTATTTGTGGTGTTTGCCCGACGGTCTCGTGTAAAGGCAATCCCGCTTGTGGCTCTTGTGTCCTAACACGTTATCATCTGACAAGAAGCAGCTGACGGTGTAGGTGAAAGAGATGAGGTAAGGGGGCACTGCAGAGAATGCACAGCACGCTACATGTGTTATCGGGACTGTTTGTCTGGTGCCTTCATGTTTTCGAGACAAACACTTCTCCAGCGGATCCCGGCCTCGCTCGTGATCGATTCGCTCCTCCGAATCCCCCCGAGGCTGCGCGGCGCACGCTTCGCCAAGGTACAGCCTCGTGTCGGCATCCCACGCAACGAGCGAACCGCTGGCGTCAACACCGGTCCGGTCAAGGTCTGGTCAGCTCAGGCGCGGCCCTGCGCCACGAAGCCTCGCGCCAGCCAATCACGTCCTGATCGTCGCTTCTTCAGTCCCCCAGAATGATTACTACTTCGCTAACCCGAACGGCTATCGAATATGAATAGGTTCCGTCCGCGTCGGCAGTTCCCAAACCCTCCCCCCCCCCACGTGTGTTAGACCGAAGACCGGCTCATGTACGATACACAGCGCCATATGCCCTCACACAAGGCCACCTGGAACTGTGCTGCTTAAATTAGATCAGGAAGGCCATCAGGTCCGGTCTGCCGGGCCTTTTTTTTTTTTTTTTTTTCCTGTTTTTCTCGTGCGGATGAGGGTGACGGCATCGCCGTCGATCCCGATCGACACTTCTTGGTCCACCCCGCGACACTCCGTCACGTCGTGCGACAAACTCCTCCTGAAATGATGATGAATCCTGCCCGTGTCACTTTGCCACTAGGCTTGCTGGCCAGTCTGCCGTGCTTATTCTTGATTTGCCAGTGCGGGTTGATAGACCGATGTATATGGAGGGGCGTTGGAACACAAAACGGTCGCTTTCCTCAGTCGATCAATGGTGACTAGGATGAACCGTTGACTTGGCCGGCCAATGTTTTGGTCGAGTAAACGGCACTCCGATCGCGATGCCTCACGTAGTCGTCGTCAGATCCAAACCGGCACTCTCGATTGCCACATCAGGCAGGGCGAGCATTGTCTTGTGTATTGAAGATGCAGTCACTGGATGATATGTCGAAGAACGTTTGATGATTCAGATGTGTTGGCCCTGGACACGCTTGTGGATGACAGCGGCAAGGAGATTGCTATGCTTTGATTTCAACATTGAGGGAGCTGCCAGCCTTCGTCTGGAATTTCTGCTCGCGTGGAGGCGCGTTACGAGGCTGCCCTTTGAGTCAAGGGACCCCCTTCCGAGGGAGTCATCAAGTGAAGCTCTCAGATCATCGGGTCCCTCTTCCCAACAACGTCCTCCAAATACCTGAACCACGGCGAATGTATTCTGCAGGCTCCCTTCAAGACAATCCGTTTTAACCTCTTGGGGGAAGGGGGGAGGGGGGGCGTCGCGTCAAGGCCGACCCCAGATCGACCGCTCCAATGCGTCATCCCGTGTCATAAGCGCCCAAGCAAGCCCGCTCTCATGTTGTGCGTCCCTAAAACAACGACCGCTATGCCACCTCGCTTCTTCCGGGAAATGGGCCGCCCATGCACGCCTTCCCCATGGCAGCCACAGCCGTCTTGTGAGACCTGCCAGATAACGATTGACGAGGAGCTCGAAAGTGACGTCGAAAGGCAACGGGCAGTCTTAAACCCTTGGTGGCTTGAAGTGATTGGGTCCACGACGTGGCTTGTAGTTGTGCGTATAGATCCAAGTCCGAGCGCTCTCAAGATTGAGATGTGCACATTCTTGCGTCAGCCGTCCTGCCCCAACGAGCCGCTTGCCGCGGTCGCGTTCGCGTCCGCGTCAGCCGAGAGTCTTGGGATGGGTGGCAGTCATAACAAGCGCGACTGCGGTGGAAGAATAACAACCACATACGCGTTCCTTTATCCCATCTCGATGCTCGCCCGCCGTGCACCAAACAGCTCCAAGACGGAACACTAAAGGTCGTCATGGATTACTCGATCGAGATGCAAGGCGCAAATGCAGTGGCCTCTACTCGCCGATAATGCCGTCGTGTTCGCCCTTGAGTCGCTGGACGCGCTTCTGCTCCCAGTTGTCGATGTCCTTGGCCGCAAGTCGCTGATGTAGGTCTGTCAGTATCGCTTCTGCCACCGTCCCTCGTATTGCAAAGCTGCTGTAAGGCGCGGCTTCAAATCACTCACGTAGTATTCCTCCTTCATGTCAACCTTGCGTGCCGACCGACGGAGGTTCAGCTCTTCGTCCTTGGTCACCTGGCGCACCCGTCTATCATGCTTCTCGTAGCGGATGGCCGTGGCCGGGGTCAAGACGAAGGAGCCTGCTATCATGACGGCGACAAAGGGCAGGCCGAACATCAGGAACGGCCGCTTGGCCATTTGAGCCCGGTACTTGGCGGCGAAGGTATTGGTGTCCGCCTTGGACGGAAACTTCTTGTTGCTGAAGACAGCCATGGCAGGCGGCTTCTGTCAGCAGTTGGTAGCAACGAGGTCAAGCGATCCCGGAGGCCGGTCGGCTGTCGCGCCGTGATCTTGTGTGGCAATCGGACTTGTCGACGGTCAGACGCGGTGCCTTTCTCGTCGGTGGATCTTGTGGGGTTCGTCAATGGCCTGACCTCGGTTGTCTGTGGCAGCTGTGAAGCACCGAGTGAGTGAGTGGTCTGATCTCTGATCTTAGGAGATGGATGGATGATGCAGAAAAGCCTAAGAGCGCGCTGACAGTTTCTCCGGGTCTGGTCGTAGTTTAGGAAACTTTGAGCTTGGGCCTAATAGAGACCACCCCACCACCTCACCTCACCTTGGAAGCGGTACGTATCCTGACCAGGTAGCTTCCGCGCTCATGCGACCCCACACAGTGCGTGCTTAGTCTGCCAAGAGTCACCACGTAGACCGATCTGCATTATGTAAGCACAGCAGAAGCCTCCCCTCCCTCCTAATGCCTATCTACTTACTCACTGTGTCTTATCAACATTCATCAATGCACTCTTTCTTATGCGACGCCTTGTGTCCCCTCACCTGAACTTCGTGGCCTCGGCCGCCGCCCTGGGGCGTAGTGGCGGCCCGCGTCGGTCCACACGTACTGCGAAGTGAGGTAAGGCGCGTTTCTCTTACAACGGGCTTAGTGTACTTAGCCATCCTCCTATCCGGGACTCCCTCCCGGCCCGCGAGAGTATGTTGTCTCGTTTCTCCATCGCTCTGTCCAGCCTAAACACACGAGACCATCGAATCACGACTTGCCAATCAGTGAGGGAGCTCGTCGCCATTTTGCTTTGATTCGACAGCTCAACAGCCTCGGTGGGACCTTGGCGAATGGTCTCGACCATGGCTCATCCCGCATTAATCGTCGCAGAGGAGAGGGTCCCCGGTTCTCCATCGCCTTCAAGCTGGCCTCTCTCTTCCGCGGGTTCGCCAACAGACAGTTACCGCAAATAGCATACGGCCTTCAATTTGCGTACGTGAGGACGGGACCGCCCCTCAAAGAGAGGGAAAGAGGGAGGGAGGGAGGGAAAGAGAGAGACAGACGCACACGTACACACTTCACAGCCACTCCGTCCGTACTTTGTGCTGCTTTTTCGTTCTCATCTGAAACCCGACACGCTGAACAGATGCCCTTCGTCCCCAATTCCCACTTAGCTTCCCTCAGCCATGTTCCCCGCAAAGCCTCCCAAGCGATGGCACGTTACGCCCGTGATAAATGTTTCCTCATCCCCTCCATCCGCCATTGTGATGCCGTGCGAGACCGAGTCGCTGCCCGTTACAGCGAGCTCGCTCAGACTGAAGCCCATCTGCACCGGTTAAGCGCCAGTGGCACACAATAGCAATAAAGGGGCCGGCAGGGGGAGTAGGAGGAAGGGCAAGGGGCTTGATGGGTTTCCGTCTCCCGGGAAGCTGGCAACCGTGCTGGATAAGCATTGACCACTCACACACGCTTGAGAAACTTGGGCCCAATCCCAAGCACTGTGTAGCATCCATCTACCGGTACCTTGTGCGACACATGGGACTCCAATGGCAAGCTTGCAGAGCTTCCCACACTGACAAGTGCCGACCGGGTTCTATTCCCCGTCTCTGCCTTGCGGGGCACAGTGAAGACCATCTCATCGGATGGGCCTTTTAGGCTTGGGCCTGGTTTCTTATCGGGCAACAAGCCGACTAGGGAGATGCTGAAAGGGGTAGACCTGGACAGGTGTCACGGCTTCCGAGGCTTGTTTCGTTTCGTTGAGGCGGACTACGCAAAGCAAGCCAAGTGGCAGTCGCCTGCTACTGCTGCTGCTGCTGCAAAGAAACTTGCCGGACTATCCAAGAGCGTGTTTATTAATGGATCCTTCTCCAGTCTCGGCGTCTGGGCGGCCGTGGCGTTGAGACGAAGGGCCATGGTATAAGTTTCTCCCCAGTCCTGCCGTCTTTCATTCCAAGTCTTCGTACCGACTTGGCATTCTTTGACATTCTGCGAACATCAAAAACCATCTACTCATTTCCATCCATCCCCCCCCCTTCCAGGCTGGTCCATCATCCCTCCCAAGCTCAAGACCAACTCCGCCTGCTTGTCCCGCCTTGACCATTTCTACCTCTGGCTGAAATCTCTCTTGGTTTGAATCCAACCCACCTACACCTCACCTATCACAATGGGTTATTACTGCTCAAACTACTACGTATGCCTCCCTTATCATGCACCTTTGTCCGGCCTGTAGCTCACGCGATCATCACAACAGGGCTCGATCCACTGCCACAACACCGTCTCCCGCTTCGGCGACAGATGCCATCTCTGCGCGGTAGGCGCTCTCCAGCCGTGAATGCATCCATTGTCATCTAACATTCCGTCTTCGCAGGCATCAAAAAGAGGAGCGTCCATCAAGGAGGGTCTCCTCTCGGAAGCCGAGCGATGGGGATCGACTACGCCCCGATCCACCCTTGGCGATCGCCGGGCCGAGCGGAACAGCCGGCCGATCCGGGATTCGAGAGTGAAGAACTAGGAACACGAAACCCATGATACACAAGGCCACAGTGGCCAGAGGATAAACACATGTTAGAGCGATTGAGGGAAACGAGCAATCGACGCGGACCGGGCAACAGAGTACAACCACCGACTGGAGGGGGGCGGCGGCTGTGGCGGCGGGGGGTGTTTGTGATACACAAGGCGCTCAAAAAAGAAAATCGACAAATCGGACCCAGGTTCAAGCATTGTTCTTTCGTTTAGGAGACACATCGGAGTCAGGCCGACCGCCATATGCCTATCATTCAAAACAACTAGATAACGTCAGACCAAACCAACTAATACACATGCCATCACTATATGCCGGTCCAAGAGGTGGTGGTGGTGAAATAGTGCTGCTACATTCATTCCCGCCCTCGTTCCCTCCTCGGCTCGAAAGCAGAGATGCTAACGCACCTCATGCATCGTAAATTTTCGTCTCTAGACTGCATGAACCGCCAATGCCCGTGTTTCCAAGCCCAGAGGACTGGGACGCCGATAAGGAGACGACGTGTTACGAAGCAGGGCGGCATCAAACATGACCAGCTCAATCCAATTGGCTTGTATCTGGGCAACATGCCACCTCGAGCAACCGGCCCGTTAGCCCACCAGTCCCGTCCACTGGACAGAAAATGCCTCTCTATGCGGCGCGAAGCAGAGTTCGGAAGCCCGAGTCAAAGTACACAGTAAGAACTCTGGGGCGGGTGGGCCTCCGCGGCACATTGTCTGATTCTGGGCCCAGAGTTCAAACGATGACAGATGGGCTTTATAAGAGGGTTTGTTTCAGAAACGGCAGCAAATCAACGAACAGTGCCCCCTCTCGGACCTTTCACACGACGCGCTGATACTTACCTCGCTTTCAGAAATCCCTCCGTCAAAACGGGCCCCGGACAAGCTATCGATCGCCTTTACCGAGGCAGATATCAGAGATTGCCGCCGGGTAGCGAGTTGAGACGATCACGCCACGGTCGACCTGGGGCTCCTGAGCCCCAGGCCATCGCACTCTAGATGTTCGAAATCTCTCTGGGTCTTCCGGACTTCGGATGAAGACCATGTGGAACTGAAGCTCTATTCACCGGGGGGGGCATAGGGAACACTCCGACAGAGGCTAATCATTGTGAGCAAAAAGAGTGATTACCTAGCGAGGGCGGATCTTGCGACCCTGGCGGTTCATCGTACCAAAACATGGCGGGCCTTCCGATCATGCAAGGCAAAAAATATCCTGCTTAAGCCGGGCTCGGTGGTCACTGGGTTTCTCATGCCATTCCCATCAGCAGCGTCACCGCCAAAAGTGGCCGTTACGAAAACCCCGACACCCTGTCGACCGATCATGTGTAGTACCTACCGTGGAAGCCAGATGGACGAGTTGAACACTAGGTAATAAAGGGTACGACTGAAATGACGCAGACGACCATGAACTACCCCCCTCGACTCAGCACTTGAGTGCATACGCAAGCGCGCAGATCCTGGGTCGGGACCTTTCCTGGACGACTGGCTGGTATGTGAAGTATTAGTCCCCTGTTAACCACCGTCCCATCTCAATCAAACGCCCGTAGTACTGCCACGTGGCTGAGCATATGTTCACACACATACATACATTGTACACACGTTGACATCCTCGGTCCGTTCTCGATATCCAGCAACCCGGTCTTCTGTCATTCGTCTACAGCGTACTATACACTCAGCGTCTCAGGTTTAGGGTCTCCGCTCGCCGTTTCGTATTGCATTGTATACTAATAATACCGACTCTGTAGAAAACGAATACTCTACAGTCACCGCGCGCCCCCCATAGTATACCAATCTTTGCTTGTGTGCGAAACCTTACACCTTCCTTCACAGCCCGCCGCCCACAGGAGAACCTTCTTAGCGCCGTGCCGCTCTGCGGCAGCGGCTTCGTCCAGACCGCGCTTCATTCCAGATGGCACCAGGCCTTTGGAATCTGCAAGTTGTCCCAGCAGGTTCTCGATTACGACGAGCTCTCTGTAGGCTTCACCGCCCAGCATCTCGGCCACCCCCCGGTCCGAAGTGGCACGAGTCGAGAGTCGAGAGCCCGGACGCTTTGCTGCCACGACACCAGCGCATCCGCAAACTCTCGTCCTGTCTTCTCCACCGCCAGAGTATGTTCTCCTGGCGTTTACTCAATGTTGGTTTTGAAGTATTGCTCCCGGCCGTAAGCATAGCTGCCGCCGTAACACCGAAGCTGGTTTTCGAGGTGGACGTTAGTGTGCAGTCCCTCGCGCAAGATGATATCAAACAGGTTCTTAAATCATTGAGTGGGCGGCACGGCGTACTCCTTCAGTATATTAATGTTAGGATTGAGAAGCTGCGGTATAACATCTCCGCAAACCTTCTTAGGATTCTACTCCTCTTTTTTGCAGCATGCTTCTAGCAAATCTTCCCCCTTTTCGGCAAGACCCAGGGTTAGACAATGGTCAACGATGGCCATAGAATGCTTGAGAGGCCCCGAGGATGGCGGCGAGGCGGGATTGGTGGTTCTCGAATGGCGACTAGAACCTGAGGTGGGCCACTCCTAGCTGGCTTCAGTAGCTCAGAAAGGAGGTCTGCCCCCTCAAGCCGCAGTTTCTCGAAACCACAATAACGCCCGTACTCAAACAACTTTTTTCCAATAAGGGATTAGACCTGGTACTTCTTGACAAACACCGAATGAAGAATACCATAGAAAAGTGCGAGACTGCCACGAGAGGCTAGTGCCAGTATCAAACTGTAGAAATCAGGCCCGCGGTCAGTTACGAAACTGTTCAGGCCCCATTTAATGGGTTGATAGAAGATAGGAGAGAAGAGTATACGTACCTGATATCGGCCAAGTCTTGTTTTCATGCTTTTCTCCCATGCTTTTGAAAAAAAAAAAAAAAGAGGTGTTCCATATCATCGACCATCCGGACCATATTTGCGGGTGCAAATCTTCGGACGAGTTGTATGTTGGCTAGGTCCACCTAGCGGAGGACGCTGTTCTTCTTGACGAGAAATGCAACCTACAATCAAGATATGGTGAGATTTGATGTTTTTGAAGTTTGAACGCATTCTGAGTCAGAAAGCTGGTCATAGAAACATGTGAGCACATACTGTATGATGATATCGTGAGGTGCTTTCACTCCCGTAAGTTTCAGTGAACTCTTCCTCGTCCTCGCTATCGGGGTTGGCTTCCAAGGGCTTTTCCCAGTCTAGGATTTCATCATATATTGGCGAATCGTCTTGCCATCAGGTGAGTAGAGAGCTGTTATTTCATCCTCCGTGTATCCGTCGTAGTCGTCGCCCAGGATCGATATGTCACTGTGTGTCAGGTGCGCAAAGATGAGGTAGACGCCACACTCGGAGGCCACTTGGTGTAAAGCCCACGAACAGCCCTGTCGCGGCCGTTCATGTTGTGAATTGACAAGCTCGCTTCGGAACACTTGTGATCAGGGTTTGAATGAGCGTTTCTACGTTAGAACACGCCTGCCACTCAGTTGAATTTCTTTTTCGATATGTTGGGCTTGCTGCCTAAACAAACCTGCAGACTGCTTGTTAGAATCGTTCCGGGCAACATTGTATGTTAAAGCCAGGCGGTGGCCCGCCTCCAGCTACTTCACCTCGTGTGAGATGTCAGAGTACCACGCCAACGCCGCCACGTCGAATCTCGACGTCGGGGCGGTCGAGTAACTACGTTCCTTGGGGCCAAAACTCAAGTTGACGTCTACGCCCATCTATTCGGACGGCAGGCAGACAAGAAGCCTGCCAATCATGCCACGTTCCTTTTCAGTATCCTTGTGGCGTTTAGATAAGGATCCCTTCTCATAAAGGAGCAGTTTGTGAGGCTTCAACGTGATGTTCGTCAACTCAAGGCTGCAAATGGGCCCTGCTGGCATGATCCCTTGATCAATTCCGCATGTTCGGGCATCATTGGAAGCGGAAAGGCGCGATGCCCCTTGGTATTCAACCCGGGGTTGGGATACGCGGTTTATCGTGCGAAGGTCCCAGTATCGCCGACGGATCTAACACCGTCCAGTCACTGCCGCAGCGTGTCCTTCCAGCCTTCAAAATCGGCATCGGTCCATTCGTCCGCCGAAACGATTGGTTCAGACGAGGAGGAACTCATGTCGACTGAAGTACACTGCACGCTCGATCCTCTGTCTTGGTTGGTTAAGGTGATAGCATTGTGATGCTACGGCAAGATTTTTTCGGCAGTTTTGTAGCCCTTGGAACGATGGCGACACGACGAGATGGTTGTATGAGGCAATTGCAGGTAGACCAACATCAGGTTAAATGACTTTTATCCCAAAAGGCACTCTTGCCATCGATGGTTAAAATCAGACTCGGCCTATAAAATAGACAGCTCCATGGTTTTTTTTTTTTTTTTTAAATGTGTTGGTAACACCAAGGGATAGGTTGATACGGTTAACCGTACGTATCGGTGGCAATTGACGAATAATGGGGGTAACTGTGGTTCTCTATTATGCGTAAAGAAAAGAAGGATAATTATCGTGGGTTGGCTGGTTGAATAACCAACCAATTGCCCACGAATCCTCGGAGAATCTATGGCCGAATATCCGAGGATTCGCCGGCGATGAGTCATCGGGGTTAACCCGATAACTCCGATATTTATCCGCGATGGTCAACATCGCAACAAAATGCTTATACCGTGATGACTTCCGAGTATTTACGACTATATATAGCCATTGTTGTACACCTATGGGACTCTACGAGGCCTTAGTAGGCTTTAGAACTAGCTTGTTGCGACTCAAAGGATTCTACCATTGGGAGTTTTATATATACATATATATATCTTTAAATGAAAGCTGTGGTACACTTTTCTTCTAGCTCTGTCAATAATTTGCAAAACTATTTGCAATAAGAAGTCAGTTTCAGCAGTAAGACATTTTCATGGGTAATGCAACGAAAAGTACCTAATGGTGATTCAGGGCTGGACTAGATACGGATATTTCTTATAGAAGTGTTCACCAGCGAGTGTTTATTTTGTGTCCATATGGCATTTGGGGGATTTAATGCAGTGTAGATCTTACGGACGAAGTGCCCATTTGAAGGCGTCTGGAGGGATGATGTGGTCAGCTTAACTGCTCTGCATCAGGTAGCACCTAAAGCCAGAAGAGATGGGTCAATGTGCATAATTTAATCAAGATACAGAATCAAAGCGAGGCCATTGTTCTCATCAAGTCAAGCTGGGGCGACATGTTGCTGCAGAAGATAGTTACCGTCATTCGAGCTGTCAGACCGAACAAAGTACTGAGCCATATCGAGGTATGTGCGACAAACGGAAGGGATCGACTTTTCGACGTCGCTGGTCCCATCCCTCGACTTGTGTAGGGATAATATCTGCTTTTTTAATACCCCCGAAACCATGGACGATCTTCGTGGGAGAACAGAGGTACGTTTCCTTGACAATGCGGCTCATCCGGACATCGCCCCAACTTTAGCCGACGGGTACCTGCTGGATGGCCCAAGCACCGGGGATCATTCCGGGCACGTGGACCCGTACTGCAGCTTGCGCCATCACCGTTTCAGACACCTCAGAATACGTGTCTGCTAAGCGGGAACTCGATTTTACTCATAAGGCAGTGCACATAAGCGGTACCTCTCTAACGGATACCTTGAGGGATCGTCACTGACGTAGCGGGTTGGTTGTCCGGGGCATCCTTCGGGCAGAGCTCCCTGAAGCTCTATCTCAGGCACCCGGGACCGTGACTCGCCAACACACAGCCCACCAGGCATATCCTCGATCCTCTCCCCCAGAGGTTGAGAGCTGCCCAAGCATTAGCCTTCTTTTCTTCTTCTCTTCCCCTTGCTTCCCGTCCTTATCATCACCAAACATCGCAGAAACAAACCACAACCATGGCGAAACACCGACCATCAACAGCAATGCTCCGACCTTCCTCCCTCATCGCCGCAGCAGCGCTCTGCCTGCCCCTCACATCCGCCTCTCAGCCTGGCGCCGCCTCCCCGGTACCGGCCCCGATGCGCGACCTGACTTGGGGCCAGCTCAACTTCCTCCACACGACCGATACACACGGCTGGCTTGGCGGCCACCTTCTCGAGCCGCAGTACTCGGCCGACTGGGGCGACTACGTCTCATTCGCTGAGCACATGCGGCGGAAGGCCGACGAGCGCGGCGCCGACCTCCTCGTCATCGACACGGGTGACCGTGTCGAGGGCAATGGCCTCTATGATAGCTCGAGCCCCAAGGGCCTCTTCACCTACGATATCTTCCGCGAGCAGGCTGTCGACATCCTCTGCACCGGCAACCACGAACTCTACCAGGCCGACGCCGCCCAGCGCGAGCACGACATCACAGTGCCCAATTTCCGCGAAAACTATATTGCCAGCAACCTCGACTACATTGACCCCAAGACGGGCGACCGCGTGCCCCAGGCCCAGCGGTACCGCAAGTTCAAGACCAAGAACCAAGGGCTCGAAATCGTCGCTCTCGGCTTCCTCTTCGATTTCACGGGAAACGCCAACAACACTGTCGTTCAGCCGGTCGAGGATACCATCAAGTCGGATTGGTTCAAGAAGATGCTGGAGGAGGAGAAGCCCGATTTGTTCGTCGTCATCGGCCACGTTGGCCTGCGCATGCCCGAGTTCAAGGCCATCTTCACCGCCATCCGCAAGGGCAACTGGTTTGCGCCCATTGCCTTCTTCGGCGGCCACGCCCACGTCCGTGACGCCCTCAAATTCGACAAAGACGCTTTTGCCCTCGCCAGTGGGAGGTATGGCGAGACCATCGGGTGGATGTCGATTGACAACATCAAGAGGGCCAAGTCCGCGTCCGCCACCGACGAGGTCTCGGCAGAGATTGCGCCATCCGCCTCCTTCACGAGGAAGTACATTGACAACAACCTCTTCGGCCTCTACCATCACACCGGTCTCAACGAGACGACCTTCCCAACTGAGTACGGCAAGAACGTTACCAAGATGATCGAGAAGGCCCGCAAGGCGCTCGACCTCGATTACAAGTACGGCTGCGCGCCCAAGGACCTGTGGGTCAACCGCGCCCCGTATCCGAGCGACGACAGCATCTTCACATGGCTCGAAACGCAGGTGCTCCCAGACGTCATCCACAAGAAGGACAGAAAAGACGTCCCGCGCCTGGCCATTGTCAACACGGGCGGCATACGCTTCGACATCTTCAAGGGAGCATTCACAAAGGACAGCACCTACATCGTGTCGCCCTTTACCAGCACCTTCAAGTACATCCCCGACGTTCCGTACGGCGTGGCCAAGCGCGTCATCGAGCTCCTGAACAAGGCCGGCAAGATCTTTGAGGCGACGCACGATACCCGTTTCATGAATATACCCGAGATGTTGTTCCCCAAAGACGACATGTTCATGTTGAAGACGGAGCAGGAGGGCGAGCCCCGCCGGCTCGAGCTGCGCCAGGAGACTGATCAGCATCCGCTGTCTGGTGACGACGACAAGTCCAAGAAGCCGGACCTCATCGGCGGGTACACCACCAAGGACGACATCGGCGCTGACGGCGACGACACGGAGCACGTGCCCATCCAGTTCTACGAGGTGCCCAACTGCGTGCAGACGGAGATTGGCTTCCCCAAGGAGGGCGAGCCCGAAAAGGTGGATGTCGTCTTCATCGACTTCATCCTGCAGTGGGTGCTTGTCGCCCTCAAGTTCAGCGGCGGCGACTACAGCGAGGAGGATGTGTTGACGTGGTCGGATGACACGCTTACGTACAAAATGGGCGAGTGGATCAAGGAGAACTGGAAGGGAGACTGCTGAACGGGCTGGACAACGACAGGATTGTCTTGTACGGGCTCATATTGATGCTTGGCTGATGAATTGGGGTTCTGCCCAGGGTACATGGGCTCTTTAGGTAGGAGTATTTGTTTCGGATCGATCTAGGCCCCTCGTTTTCTCTTTTCTTTTTTTCCTTTTAAGAGTGCTTTTCATCAAGCCACGCACGCCATCTGTTCTAGGCACCTTTAACCGGGCAACATACGTACTTGGGCTGGGAACTGTCGACAGGGAGGTGCGGGTGCGGGTTTCGGTCGCATGAGGGTCAGAAACCAAGCAAAGTAGACTGCAAACAAGACTTTACAATATACATCATATCACATTATCATCTCTCTCAGGTTGCAGGTCGCAGCGGTGCCAAGCCTAGATCCGCTGTCATCAACGCACCTCCCGCGCTAGGCTTATCGTAGACGGACTTGTCACTGTCACTCACCCTGAGAGTCCGGTTCGAGCTCATATGGCGGCATCACTCGCCGTGAACAGATGTTGCCCGGCCGCCTTCTCCCAACGGCACTACTTTGGTCCCCTTCCTCAACGTCCTCCTTTTTGCCCTTTCTTGGATCCCCTGCCCCGCCCGCGGCAGATGGGCGCAAACGATGGCAGAAGCCGCGAGATGAACCGGACATATGCCGGGGGGGGGGGGCTACGGTCCCAAGGAGAAAGCGGCTGGCTGACTGGCTTCCTTCCGGGTAGCCGTTCCGGCACACACACAGAGAGAGAGGCAGCCCTCCCCCCTGTGAGAACCCCCAACCCCCTTCTGATGTGAGAATAAGACGCCCGAGCGCGTGCGACGGTCTAGCCGTGGGCTGCGGCGCGGACGGTGCTTTTGTTTTTTCATTTCATTTTTTTTTAACAGTGACACATCGGCGGCGTGGGACGCTATTGACAGACGGCGCCGTCGGCTGATGAAGGGTTGTGAGACTCGGACGAGAGAGGCTTTTGCCCATACCTAATATCAATATCGTGGACGGGGCCACGGGTCCGAAAGGGAGGAGGAAGGTTTCCAAGGGATGGGAAATGCTGAATACCTACAGCCCTGCGTGTGCCCGCCACGCGGTGCGGAGGGAGCGGGTGTTGTAGGTCCTCCCGCCCGCGAGTCAATCACTATCCATCCAGATTTGACAATTTGCTCTGGAAGCTTGCTCAGGAATGCTCCCCCACCTTCTCACGTACGAAGTATGCGCGATCTCAAGGCACAAGGTTTTGTAATCCTTGTGTGCTTTCGTTTTAGATCCCCTTCTACCCCTCTTCTTTTTCGTCCTTCTTCTTTTCGTCCTTGGTTCTTAGTGGTAGTCCCATTCTTGCTGGAGCATAAGGTGTGTGTGCAACGGGGGGGAGGGCCCTGTGCGGGTGATCAAACAATACGAATGGCGACAAAAAGGCTCTTAACTGTAGATCTTAATCGAACATCGGAACTTTTTCCCCTTCTTTCTTTTTATTTCTTGACGTCAAGTCCAAACCGCTCCACCTGCGACGAAAGGATGAAGGCCTGCATCCATCGACCCGGCCCCCACCTCCATCATCCCAGTTTGTTTCGTCAATAGGTCGCGATGGATTGCCGGGCAACGACCAAAGTTTGATGCCGGAAGGGCTTCGTCTCATTGCTGGGACGGAGGAGCAGCAGGGGCACGGAGAAGCTCTGCGAGCTAATTATGGTAGTGTACAAGTAAGGTTAGGGATACCGTAGCATATGATGCAAGAAGAGAGACTTTGGCGGGTTTAGCCAGGGGAAACGAAACCCCCCCCCCTTTTCCTTTTCTCCTTTGGACGGTACGTACCTTCGTTTGGCCTTCTGTCTTCTTTTTTTGTTTCCATCCGATCGGCCCTTCGGTCGCTAATATGCAGCCTGTCTCCCCCTTGCTTATTCCCCCACCCCGTTTGTACTAAAATTGAATGTGTAAATAGTAGTGTATGCATTACACTATCTGTACTTCGAGGAAGAATACTACCTAATAATGTGTCCTTCGGTTGACCCGGGCTCGGTGGTGTCATGCAACATGTGCTTGCTGCATGGGCTGCAAATTGCTATAGATGCTGCAGGCTGTTAATGACACATCCGACGCACGCGCGCACGCACGCACGCGGTCAAATGAAAATGTCATGCTCCCTAACACCACGGCACATTCGCCTGAAATAAGAGACGAGCCCCGGGCAGGCTTGATCGCACATGAACACCCTTGATCCTTGACATCCCGTTCAGACGCTATTATCCGGGGACGTTCCTATCGCGATTCGTCCTTTAATTATCCCGTGTCGTTGACACCAACGGTGCTATAGCCAAGGGGGCGTAGGTAATTCGTAACGTAAAGCTCTGCTGCGTGCCATTTGTCCAGGTGTCCTCGTCTGCACCACCCGCATCTCCCTTTGCAGCGCAAGGGCGGGAGGGTAGACAAACGGGTAGACGGGCAGGCAAGCCATGCCATCCCGACTTTTTTCGTCAGGCCTGACGGCGTTGATAACTTGAACCTCCTTATTGCTGCAGAAGAAGGGTTCGAATTTTCTGCCCCCTCCCCTCAAATCGGTGGTCCGTCATCCCCCACTTTGTGCTGCTGACGTGCGGGCGCGTGGAGGCCCAAGGGGGTAAAGTCTTAGATTGCACGCAGGCTTCGCCCACGCTGCCCCCAAGTCCCGGCGATGGGGCAGAGGCGAGACGTGTTATGGTGTCGTGCTGTTGCGCGCCTCTTGCTCTCACCGGGCTGTCGTCTCATCAAACACCAATCCCAAGGGGGAAAACGTGCCTGGGACAAGGCCTGTTCTTCATCTCCACACCACACTCGCTTGTGGCCCACTCCTCTTTGGCTGCAGGAACGACGTCGCAATAGTTCGGCCTACCCCGAACGACCTCCCCCTCACAGGCCGACCTCCCATTGACTTTTGTCTGCCCTTCGCCCTCGTTCATGCTGGGTGTTCACGATCTTCTTCTGCTGTCTCTCGCTTTCTCGACTCCTTGCTGGCCGCTGCCTCTTCAAGTCTGTCTGTCTCCAAAGGGATTAACATCAGTCTCGTCTCGTCGCTCTTTATCACAGACAGTCGCCCCTTGCCGGCAGAGAGCGGGTTCAATACTCGTTGCTTTTTTGCCCCCAAAGTCCGACCTTTTGCTCAACCTTGTCTCGTCCCAGTATCAGCTCCACCACAGTTCTGCCCTGTCTGCCGACCTGCGCAGCTTGTCATCTGCTGAGCACCCTGTTTGGGACATCGTTGCTGCTGCTGCTGTGCCTTCTCTGTGCGCTCCTGTACCTGCGACACGTCAACTGTCTTGGGGTCCGCGAATAAGGATCGTCACCCCTTGTCCATCACTCAGCGCACCCTCCACATCTCAAATCACCGTCGCCCAGGACAAGTCGCGACATGGCCCGTTGGCAATAACCACTACCGCTCTTCCACTTCTCGCAGCCACGTTTGCTCCTCCTCGGTCGCACTCCACGCTTCCCGGCTGCTCGATCTCGGAGCCGCTGCCTGCTCCGAACGCTCATTTTTCAAGCAAAACCCCCGTTTGTTTGCTTCTTCATTTCCTCCAGCCGAAAATAGTTCGATTCTTGACCTGATTGTCCGTTTCCCGGCACTGGGCCCCATACTCTGTGCACAGCTCACAACATTTTTATGCCCTTCATTCGTTCTGTATGCCCCTCACCAATCCCTACACTCCGTTTCGCGATACCGTGAAAGCTGACCGATGCAGCTCTTGATACCGTCTCGGCGCGACCATGGTGTCTTTTTTTGGATTGAAGCTCGGTGCTGATAAGAAGAAGTGCGTGGACCGTCTCTGGGGTCTCGACTGCAGAACTAACGCTTCATAGGAAAGCTGAGAAGGCCGTCGAGCAAAAGCCTCAATGGAAGAAGATTGACCAGAACCTCCTCGGTCAAGGCCAGTTCTTTGGAAAGGATCTTGATCGCCCCGTCCCCGTCAATGGGTCCCGTCCCGGCACTGCCACGTCTAACAGGAGCTTCATCGCCAGCTTTCGTCAGCCGAAAGCGCCATATCTGAATGGTGGCTCATCCTCGCTGGTCGATCTTGGTGCGCCAGGCGGCGGCAAGGGTATTAGGCCTGTCGGATCCGAGGCTAACCTAAACATGCGGTGGAATAACAGCTCCGTCACAAGTCTGCAGAACATTGCGAGTCCACCGATCATCACCGGTGTCAGTGGACCAGGAAGTAGAGCAGGGACCCCTACCTCCATCAGTCGGAAGGTTTGGGTCAATCCTCTCGACGTTCACTTCGCTCGTGACAATGCTGGTTCGAGAAGTGAGGGCACCCTCAGCCCGGCTCCAAGTGCCGCGCCGAGTGGCTATCACTCCACGACCAGCCTGTCCCCCCTTCCCACCCCGACCGTCGCCAACGCACCCCGGAGCCCGTTGGGCCAATTCGAGTTCAACTTGAACCCGTCAGAAACATCGAAAGATGACAAGTTGACACCCGCTCCGCTCTCGCCCTCCAAGGCGTATCCTTCTCCTCCTCTGTCCGTCAACGGCTCCCTTCCGCGATTGAAGACTGATTTCAAACCAAAGACGGCCGTAAGCACTGTCCATGAGGTACATCAGCCCAGACCAGCCGCACTTCCGTCTCCGACCGCATCGGCAGGACGCTGCAGTGACGAAGAACAGCAGTTCTACCCCAGGCCCATCATCCAGAATGTTGCAGCAAAACGAGACACACTTACCATCATCACGCCTCGAAAGCAAAGCTTTTCGATGGATATCGACGAAGACCCGACGGCGCTCAGTCTCGGTATGAGAGAGGAACAAAGTCCTACGGCCCCAGTGAGCCCGCCGCCGAAAAGCGCTCGGCGGCCGCGTCCTCCGGAAATGAAGAGCCTGCCTCAGGTGCCCCGGGATGCTGGACCTCCGGAAATGAAGAGCCTGCCTCAGGTGCCCCGGGATGCTGGACCTCCGCCCCCGAGGCCACAGCAGATCCCGTACGAAGGGCCATTGCGATTCGCCGCTCAGGCTCCTGATGATGCGTTCAGTGTCAGACAACCAACGGGCTTGGATCTGTGGGAGAAACCGAAACTTGAGCCGAGAGGGAGAGTGGACTCCGATGCACGTGATCGTCTTAACCTAGATTACCAAGAACGGTCAGGCCCGAATGGCCGGGATAGGAGAGACTATGAGGGCCGCACTCGCGACGACCGCCCTTACCTGCCGAAAGGATATCTCGGCCCTCCGCCCGTGTCGAGAAGGGTGGCGCCAGGTGAAGGCGAACGCAGCTACGGCATCACGCCTTCAAACCGGCGTCGGCCTCCGCCACCTGTCGAACTCCAACGCAAGGCGCCCAGCCCACAGCCCCGACCACCGGCCTCGGACGACCGTGATATCCAGCACGGCAGCTTTGACACGGTCTCTCCTCGTATGCAATCGCCCCAGCCGTCGACTCCCAAGGGCTTGATCCCGGAGCCTTCGACGGATCCGAACTGGCCGCTGCCGAGCCCTCTGGCAAGCCCGACGTTCGGCACAGGCCACCGGCCGCATACACCAAGTGAGAGGTCTGAAGCTCAAATGAGCCCTGTGCGTGAAGGAGGTTTCGATGCCCGACGGCCGGACTTTGGATTGAGGGCGCCAACAGGGATTGCTGATGAATTCCGCGTGGGATTCATCTAGGTGCGGGCCCGGAAGATTATTAGGATTGTCTAACAACGGATGTGGAGTGTGTTTGTAGGATACCTTGGGGCGTGCAGGATCGGGGATCGGGGACCGGGGATTTGGGATCTGGAGGGCGAGAACATACCATACCACGTTTGCATTGGGGTTTTCGAGTTGTTTTTATGTCGGGTAGGAAAATGAGAATGGCGAATAGGCGGCAGGGCAGGACGGATAATTCATTGGAGTCCGGTCCATAGTTATCCCATGATAATGTAATCAACCATTTTATGGTCAACATAGTAGGGCTACGGCATTCTGCATTCTTTCGAATCGTGAGGCAAGCGCGGACTATTCTGGTCCTTCCTCGCCTGTCAATTTGGGTCTTTTTCTTTGTTGGTTGGAAACCACTGACGACAGTTACAATGAATGCTTCGCGCTCTTTCTTTCCCAAAAGAATGCAAACTACAAACTGTGATGCGATCCTTGGGTTTACGGCGGGTTTCCTGACAAGACGAGGAGATGGGAGCCAAGATGACATAGGCCTTTGAACAATACCTCCCGTAAGTAGCACGCCCCGCTGGAGATTGATACTGGGGTTGCACAAGGGATGGAGACTGACGCTATTTGCATGATTCCTCGAGATCTGCAAGAACGGTTCAGACTTTCTAAAAATAGGTCCAAGGGTGGGAAATGTCATCGCTCGTCCACATGGCAGAGTTCCGAGTGCCGGTCCCCCATCTTCGAAGGTGGAATACGACCGAGACGCCGACCCCACACAGCCCCGGACATAGGGTTGGTGCCCTCTCCACTGTCCACGATATGAGTTACCATTTCACCGCATCCGTCTGAAGATCGTGGCGGACATAGCTCAGTTGGGAGAGCGTCAGACTGAAGTCAACTTCAATCACTTAATCTGAAGGTCGTGTGTTCAATCCACACTGGCCGCATCTTCTCTTTTGTGTTTCTTTATAATTCTTCTATACGATGGTTTTTTCTCCTTTCTTTTTCTTGTTCATCATGGAATTCTAGACTTATGAAGACGAACGAGCATTGCACACTATTCCTCACTATGCTGTCCAAGTCATAACTAACCATCTGCCCACTAATTGGAGATCTCGCTTTCTAGCCATCTCGATCCAGCACTTATCTACAACCAACTCGTTGGTCAAGGAACAGTAGATCGTCATACGATGTCCACTACAACCCTTAAAGGCGGGAGCAACTCACACACACACACATCACTACAGTCAAACCTGAGCATAATGAATCTCTTCGTTGCTGTTCTCGTGATCCCCCCTTTGCAACACCTTGGCTCGTCAGAGAAATTGAAAAAAAAGGAAGCGATCTACAAAGCCTCCAGTATGGAAAAAGCATCATTCATAGCAGCTCTCGCATTGCATAGACGTAGATCGCTTAGTAGTACGCACAAGGCGGCTCGGCAGTCACAACACCGGCCGAAACAGCAGCGGAAATGCGGGGACGGCCCCAGGGGAGCGGAATACGCGTCAGGAGATCTACGCATCCGTGACTCAACGCCACGTTTCGCTCTCCCCGGGGCTGCGCGTCAACCTGCGAGTCCGCCGAGAGGTCTACGCGAGAGGCCGAGAGGCGGTAGCAGGGTTCCCAAAACGTCTCCCGCCGCAGGTTGACGCTGCCCACCCCTGACTGACCCAGCCAACTGCGAGCCCATCCGCGGCCCCAGAGAAATAGACATGAATTGAAGCTTATTGTGTAGAAGCGCCTTGCCCGGGGTAGGGGATCCTGGCTGGCGGCAGCATAGGATTCGCCAGTGTCGACTGCCAAGGATCGGATCCAGTTGTCTTTTCGCCTATCATCCGATTCAGACTGGATCATCCCGTAGAGTGACTCACCCAAGACATGTTGGCAGTATCCAGATGATGGAAAATCGTCTAAACCGTAATTGTTGCAAAATGCCTGTCGTGATATGGGCCAAGGCGGACGCCGAACGCCCAGCCGTCTGATACTTCGACTCGGGCATGGCAGATTGCGACTCTGTCCTCCAAGTGGCTGTTACCTAAGGGCATGTTGTGTTAGCAAGAGCTAGAGACACGGGTATAAGGACGCCAGCGTTCTCGAGGGAGCCAGACTGCTTTCTGGCACATCTCCAATCACATCTCCATTTCCAGCCTCTCTCTGTTCTACTTCTTTCTTGTTTGTGATCCTTCTTTCAAGTGCTGTGCACTCTTCGGCTCCTTGAAGCTCTTGCTTTCGTAATATACACATATCCTTCATTCGAGTTTCGTGAAGTCCCTCTTTTCCAACTAGCAGGGCATCGACATCTATACATCAAAATGCGCTACACAACCATCACCCTCCTTGCCATCGGCCTCCTCACAGGCAATGCTGTGACAGGTCCGTTCGCTCTGTAACATTTTTGACAACGCCGTCACCAACTCATCTTGCTGGCAGTTGAGTAATCTTCAATACTAACTTGTTCCTTTCCTCACAGCACCAGCCCCTCGGCCCGGCGGAGCTGTAACCGCCTTCGGCGGCGGCGGCGGACAGAACGATGGAAACAAGCAGGGCGACCAGAACGCTCAAGGAAACCAGGAAAACCAAGGAAATCAGGAAAACCAAGGAAACCAAGGAAACCAAGGAAACCAAGGAAACCAAGGAAACCAAGGAAACCAAGGAAACCAAGGAAACCAAGGTAACCAAGGAAATCAGGAAAACCAAGGTAACCAAGGAAACCAGGAAAACCAGGGCAATCAGGACAATCAGGACAATCAGGACAACCAGGGCAACCAGGGCAACCAGGGCAACCAGGGCAACCAGGGCAACCAGGGCAATCAGGACAACCAGGGCAACCAGGGCAATCAGGACAACCAGGGCAATCAGGGCAATCAGGACAACCAGGGCAATCAGGGCAACCAGGGCAACCAGGGCAATCAGGGAAACCAAGGAAACCAGGGCAATCAGGACAACCAGGGCAATCAGGGAAACCAAGGAAACCAGAACAACAACGATGGAAACAACGATAACAACAACGGTAACAACGATAACAACAATGGTAACAACAATAACAACGATGGAAACAACGATAACAACAACAACGATAACAATGATAACAATGGCAACAACGACGGAGGCCAAGGGGGTGACGCAAACGCAGCAGCCGAATTCGTGGGCCTGGCTTGCACCGACGGGACTGGAGCCGGAGCCTGCCAGGCGGACGGCCAGTGCGATGTCAACGGCAACGTTGCGGTTGTCGAGGGCCAGTGCGGTCAGTGAATGGGGAGAAATTCGCGTTGATGTGTGTTGTCTGCTGAAGGGCCGGGTCTGACGAGACCGGGTTGAGACGGAGCCTACCGCCTCCTGCGACTAGTCCGATTTTTAATAGTCGAGTGAGGATATATACCAATACCAAATTGAAGCAAAAATGTCAGAACCCAACATCAGTATATTCACCCAGAGTGGCCAAGATTCTTGTATTGTGAAGCCTCGGATGAATCTCGGAAGCAATAACGAGCATGCGTTTGGGTTTGCTCTCCTGCTCTTTGTTGCGCTGGTGAGGTACGGTGCCAGTCGTTGTCGTCGCTGTAGTCGTCGTTGTCGATGCCACCACCACTATTCCTGGACAACTCAACACGAAGAGTCAAAGTAGCTATTCACTGTGCCGGATTGACAAATTCATTTCTTCGACGTTGCCATTGTTTGCAAAAAAGAAGAGTCCCTACTTAATAGCAGTGCCGAGTCCCCCCCTCTTCATCAAGCCAGATTAGCTCAAGCAAACTCGAAATCCACTTACGCCGGGCTCACTCTTCTTGGCTTGTGCTACTTTACTAACCCAACAGACTCCCCTGAACCCTAGCCTGGATAGAAAACATGTGCTACGTCTATCGGCACCGCCACGTCTGCTGCAACTGCAGCCGCATCATGTCCTCCCAAGACAAGACCGGCTGGTGCGAGAAGCGCATCTGGGTCCGCCCTAGCCCCTTCGAGCACGCCGTGCCCTACTGCTCTGAGGGCACCAAGCTGATCCACCTCGACTACAAGGTCATGCGCTGCGTCGATTGCCACTTCGGTCCCTCCAGGCTCACCCGTGCTGTCGACACACCTCGGCAAGACACTCGATTGCCAGAACAGCGGCAAGGCCAGCACGATGAGCAAACAGAAAGAGACGCAGATGGAGGGTCCGAGGCCGAGGCCCCGGGTCGGCTGTGGAGTGTCGGCAGGTACGTGTGCCGAGTTCTCGCGGGGTGGGCGGTGACGGTTCTGGGCGGTGTTCCGGTTCCATCTGACCATCCAGCCTACAACCGTTCCTGACCTCGCCGACTACAAGAAGAATCTTGATAATTCGCAGTGAATAGAAAATAAAGTATGAGTTTAGTGTTTCCCAATCCCGGCGTTGCGGAAACAAGGGCTCTGGGAACTGAATGGCCGCATCTGCTTGCCTGCCACGAGAGCAAGGCCACTACTACCCTGGAAAGAACGGTTTGAGGACAATAGGAAGCGATTGGCGCATACGTTGGTACAATAGTTGTAATGTTCGTCACGAGGTTCTATCTCGTGTCTATTATTCTTCCACTGGAATTTTTTCTTTTTATTACGTATTGTTTCTCTATCGTTTGGAATAACCGCCTACCCATCCAAGCACTTTCCCTCCACCTTGCAACGCCACAAGCAGACCCATGCCCAGACTACGCAAACGGCCAATTCTTGTTCAGCACGATGCAGCTCCCGTTGGACGACGACGCAATGTCCTTGTCGGTCAGGAACACGCAGTACTTGGCCACGGCGGCCGGGTCCAGTCCCGTCTCGCCGCGCTTGTACTCGGGCATGCCAGCCGTGACCTTGGCCATGCCGGCCTGGTTGATGCCGCTGGCGAAGGCGTCCATGATGTTTGTCGTGTCCATGCCGCCGAGCAGCAGCGCCACCGAGTAGATGCCCTTGTCGCCGTAGAAGCCGGCCGTGTTCTTGGTGACGGCCATGACGCCGTGCTTGGACGCCGTGTACGCCACGCCCGAGGCCAAGCCGCGGTAGCTCGCATTCGAGCCGATGTTGATGATGAGCCCGGCCGGCCCGCCGCTGGCGCTCGCCCCGCCCTGCGCGAGGAACTGGTTGACGGCGTGTTTGCTCATGAGGAAGGGCCCCGTGAGGTTGACGGCAAGCACGCGGTCCCAGGTGTCCTTGGCGCAGTCGCCGATCGGGTCGAACCGGTCCATGACGCCGGCGTTGTTGACGATGACGTCGAGGCGGCCGAAGCGGTCGACGGTGCCCTTGACGAGGGCCTCGACCGAGGTCTCCGAGGTGACGTCGACGACGGCCGTGTGTAGGCGGCCGGCGTAGGTGTCGCGGTGCTCCGAGGCGACGGCCGAAACGCGGGCCTCGTTGATGTCGGCGATGACAACGTTGGCGCCGGTGGCGAGGTACGCCTCGGCGATGGATTTGCCAAGGCCGCCGCCGGAGCCGGTCACGATGACCGTTGTGCCGGGAAGCGTGGTGGGCATTGTAAGCAAGGAGCTGTGTGTTGCGTGAGGTCCGCGTTCAGTGGCAATCTAGATGATGATGCGGTATGAGACCTTCAACGTTTGCCACGTGTTGGTAAGCTCAGAGTGGTGTCGGCGATATCGGCAAAATGGTGTCGGATTCGTGGAGATCACAACAAGGGATCAAACAAAATTCACTTCATGTGAGACAGATCATGAGAGGACTCCGAACAAGTTTATATAGAGCTCTGCATCTTCGACAGGAGGGGCGATTGCGGGGCGCATCCTGCGGGGAATGCGCATTCTCGATTGGGCGCTTCTTCGCCGCTGTTGACGTGCTCGTGGAGATCTCGCCGCTGGAGAGCCGTTGAAAGTCCCATCTATGTATTCTGGAGATACTGGCGAGCCAACATGGTCTAGGTGGCATGCAGAGTGATGCGAATACGGTGACCCATCCATTCCCCGATGCACTGGGTTCGTTCGTCTTTAATTCAGCAAATACTCCAGACGCAAACTTACCCCACGCGAACCCTAATCTGAATACTACCCCCCCTGGCCACTAACTCTGGACGTGGTGGCATCTGTAGCGGCTACGGTACCAATAATGGAAATGCATGGTATCAATTGCCGCCGCACTATGGAGTAAAGGTTTGGTTGAAGCCTTGGCGCATAGGACACCAGCCTCGATGATACCGAGGTTGTTAATCATTATTAATCCTTATTAACTTGTTTACAGGTTAATAAAAACATAGGTGCTTACTTGGATCTTCTTCTAAGTTAGTCAGGCATTTTCTTTTAAGAACAGAAGAAGTGAGGAGGATCCCAGACTGATAGGAACCATTCCTGAACTATTAGAAGATGGCTTGAACAGACCGAGAAAAATGCAAAAGAGAAGATGCGGCCAGTGTGGATTGAACACACGACCTTCAGATTAAGTGATTGAAGTTGACTTCAGTCTGACGCTCTCCCAACTGAGCTATGTCCGCCACAATCTTCATGTGCAAAAGGCCAACTAAAATGCCTAAGATGCCTTGCGGTGGAGCTCCACATCAACGAGTTGGGAATCCATTCACACACCATGCAAGTCCCTTACTATGATCCGAACACAACGAAAAGAGCCATCCATGGTTGCGACCTACACATACAGTCGGCCACGTTTCCGATGATACCCACCAAAATGTTGGCCGAACCAGGTTTGTTGACGCAGATGTCCAAGTCTAGAAAGAGTCATGAACACGCAATATCTCAAAGCCCGCCCGAAACGCCTCGCTCAATGCCGTAAAATCCAAGAGCACCCACGATTACTACCACCAAGCTCCCTTCGCGCTTCATTCATCATCATCCCGCACAAGTCCAATCCTCCTGTCCCTCTCCTCCCTCAATTGTTTATTCTCGTTGCCCGACAGCATCTTCTCCTCCACAAAGGCAGGGTCGCTGGTACGGAACTTTTCTCGCATAATACCTGACTTCGTCGTGATCTTGGCCACTGAGGTATGTGGAGACCGGTCTTGTGGCGAAAGAGATGATGCCGGCCAGAGGATCCGCTGCGCTTCTTCGTCGCTCAAAACTGGTGGCGATGGAGTGTCAGAACCGGGCGCGCCTTCGTAAGAGCGTACCAACAAGGGCGCTTCTAACAGAGAGGCACCTTGTACCGCTGGCATCCCCGAGCCTTCAACATCGTCATCTTCCTCGGGAATGTTAAAACTCTCCTCGGCATCTCGCATGGCTTCCGCTTTCGCCTTAAGCGCATCCGCCTTCTCCTTTGGCACTTTATCTCCACTCAGAGAAACCCCAGCGAGAGAAGTCAGTTTCGCCAAAGTCATCCGTCGATGAGCTTTTATAAACCTTCGCATGAGAAGAAGCTCGTTCTCCTGGAACGTCTGATAAAAGCCTCGGTTAACCATCGCTGCGGCGCATAGGTCGTCTACGCTGTCGATACTGCGTAGTATTCTCAATCGTAATTCTTCTGTCAAAAAGTCTTTCGCGTCCTGTACCTTGTCGGGGTGTTTGGGTCGTCCTTGCAGAACGGCCTGCGGCTGCCTTGACCGATGCCGAGACAGAGCCCAACCATGAGGGCGTCTGCTGATGTCGTGCAATGTCAAACCCGAGACGCTATTATAGATGTCGTTGATTGCCGCGCGGAACTGCGGTGTCGGATCGCAAATCCCGCCTTTATGCAGTACCTGCGGAGGACTGGCGATCGTCCGGAGCAGGTCAACGAGCTGAGCTAGACTCCTACGAGGCGTCTGTTGGAGATTATCCAGAGTACCGAGCACAAATGGTTTGATGATTGTAGACAGAAGCTGCAACTCCCCGTAGACGAGCATGAGCCAGCCGAGGTTCGTTGCATCGCACCAATGGCTTCCTTTAGGACACCTGGGACTGCGACTGAACACCAACGGATCGATGGGAGTCGATGTATGCGCAGACGATCCCGGGCTAGGAGAACGGGTTCTAACCTGCGGTAGGCTGAGTCCATTCGACAGGTTTGGTGCGTCGCCTTGCTTAACGGCTTTGGACGGCGGGCGTCGTAGATATTCCTGTATCATATTCACACAACACGCATGCACTTGAGCCATTTTGGCTACCCTCAAATACCAAATCTTGTCTTTGATCTTTTGCGGCCACGGCAAGCTCTGTAGTTCTTCCTCATCGATAAGGTTGAGAACGGCAGTCTTCGAAATGCGCATGAACAATTGCCGAAGCCCAAAGGTGTAGCTGATGAGGAGCATTCCTCCAGGCATGTCTTCACTACCTTTGTGGATCCATTGAGGCAACCATCGGTGCTCGACAACCAGCTCTAAGGGTGAGGTGCACCGATACCGTAGACACACCTCGGCGATGGCAACGAATTGCTTGAAAGATGTTTCCCGCGGAACTTTGTCGTTGTGCATATGCGCCGCGTGGAGAAGAATGGTGAGAGCCTGTTCTGAGTCGTGCTCGAGCTGCGGCATGCGATACAATCTCGCCTCGGTCCCGTCGTCGCAGATGAACGGCGCTGGAGGGGGTGCCAGCTTATCAGTCATGTCTTCGTCGTCATGAATCTCCGCTTGGGCATGCTCGGTGAAAATTCTCTCAAATATAGGCGAGGTTTCTGCGAGTAGGAATGAAGACACCCGGAATCTCAGAACTGGCATGGACTCGGCTCCACGATTCGCAAACTCGAGAATGGCATCGCCTCGGGGCGACACATTGTGCTCGTTCACAGGCCTTTCATCAGAGACGCCTGACTCCCCTAGCTGCAGGATGCGAGTGATGGCAACGAGGTCTTGTTTGACACGGTTCTAGTTCCTGAGCCGTATGATGTATCGTGGGAAGAAACCAGGGCTTGCTGAGAAAGTCTTGTCGATGCTGGTCTTTCTCATCTGTTGGATAGCAGCCGCATGGAAGTCTCTGTCCTGAAACAGGGACTTCACCATGCTCGGCGTGGCATCTGGTTCGTAGCTCTTGTAGGTTTCAGAGAGCGTGAGCTCGAGGGCTTGTAGCAATGATTCGATACACTGTTTCCAGTCACGGACGGCCGATAGACAGTTTTCGCGAGTTGGACCGGTATGTTGCCCGTAACTTTGCCCTGTTGTTACTTCTGAAAGGCTCTTCCCACTAGGCGAAGATCGAGTATCCATGGTCGCTGGACTGTAAGGTACGTCGAGGGAAGATCCCCGCGATATCCCTCTGCCTTCTGTGCTAAGCGTGTTGGTCTGCCCATTTTCTAGCGGTGTGTATGTTGAGATGCGCAATAATGAATGACATAACGTCGCGTGATCTTTGACCTTGGAATAATCCTTGAAAGCAGCATCGGCGTCCTTGTTAGAAAGCGTTGAGCGGACCCGTTGTGTTGACTGTTGGATTTGCCGAAGGTTAATCTCCGAGTCGTTGAAGGCGAATACGGAGCTAGAGTTGCGAGACGAGGCCCGATCGGGCGACTCTGCGAACTCAAAATCGTCGCCAGGCTTCTATTCTCGGATCGTAAGCATGGCGTGCCAGATCGAGCGGCCCGTCGCCGGCGCCATCGCAGTAGGTAGGCTTGAGAATAAGAGGTGAAGAGGAAGAAGGACTGGGATAAGATTAGATGGAAATACGGGTAACGAAGCTCTTACCAAAAGCGTGTCACCTTTAGTGGAACCAATGGTCGAGATCTTACGCAGAGCATCGCTGAACCGGTCGATCTTGTGCGACGTTGAGGCAACATCACTGCGGCTGCGTTGGCGTCCCATCATACTGGTTTAGCTGCGAGCCAAGTATGAAGCAGGGGCAGCGTCCGAACTCAGCAGTCGAGTACCAGAGCCGACCATCTCCATCAATCATCGAACGGGGGGGGGGGGGGGGGCAGCATGAGTAAGGGAAAGCTAGCACTGATTGAACGGTTCGCCACTGCTAATGTTGGGAATAGCAGCCTTCGGGGAGCAGGATGGATGTCGAGAAATAACACAAATACCTATCACATGGTCGCAGACGATGGATTGCTTCTGCCTAGAAGTGCTGCATCCCGGCGGAGAAAGCAAAGCACGAGAACGACTGGCGCCCAGGTGGACATTGGATCTTGCCAAGCAGGGACTTGTGTCATTGGAGGCCGACCCCTGGAGTAAGGCTGATTGCGGGGTCAGAGAACCGTGATGATGACATAATCTTGTTCTGTAGGCATGGAACCCTTGGCATTATATCCCTCCCACCACCAGGCCGGCAGGAAGCATCTTCAACCATGGCCTCGACTCTGCCAGGTCCTACAAAGTAGAGGCAGAACACTTGTTGGCTTTTGAAATCATTTCTTTTAACGCTTCCCGTCTATTTGCTTACACTGACACTAGTCATTGACGTCTTTTTTCGCTCCTATAATGCGGTCGTGATGGCTGCTTCTGTTGCCTCTCTCCAAAGACACATGTCCAGCCTTTCCCCGCCGGGGTATTTCATGACAATCGCAGCCGTTCTACATACAGCTTTAGACCATGACCATCGACACGCTCTCTCTTCTTCCCTTCCTCTCTCTCCGTGTATCCTTTTCTTACCCCCATGGTATGACTCTGTTGGCCAAAAGAAACTTGATGACGCATGTCCGAACCGTAACCCATTCCGAACCGTTGCCGCAGATGCATTGAGACAAATAATAGACCCTGCCGCCCAAAATAACGCAACAGACCCCCCTTCCATACATGTGATCTTGATCGGTGAAATAGACGACTGAGGCAAGACAGCGGCCCCTCTGTTTTGGATGCTCGAGCTAACGCTTCAGGTCGCTTGAAGCCCGAATCCCCTTCCTGTTTTGCAATTCGTCGACATTCCGGTGCACGATGAGTCTCGCACACTTTCGCTGGCTTCGTTTTCCATTCAAAATTGATTGCACCAGGCCATCGTCGAGCAAAGCGGGCTTGTTGATAATCGAAACTGCGGAAGGTGCTTGTCATAGCACCGAGTCCATCCTCGCATCCGATCCATCGCCACCATTGTTTTGTGCATCTCTTCTCGCAGCTGTCCATGGGCATAAACCCGTGAGGTACGCAATGCCTGGCCCCTTCACCTGCCCCGCAGTTTATGTTCGATCCAGAATACGAGTGTCCAACATTTGTCCACGACCAAAGCCGATGACGGAATGCCAGCAACTTGTGCCCATGCAGTTCTTCATCACTCTGAGCCATATCCAAAGAAAACAATGCTAGCTTTCTGTCGTGTCAAGGGATACACGGCGGTGTGCAGACGAATTTGCCAGTTCTCAACGTATTAGCCGCCCTTTCGGTCCGCCTCGTGCTTGGGCGGCTGTTCGCCCGAAACGAGTCCACTGCCCAGGTTCTTGACGTCCGCGCCCTTCTTGCGACTTTTGGTTGCCTTTTGCCACGTACCATCGGCGCCATGGCTTTCGCTCTTGACGCCCCGAGTGTGGCCGTTCTCTCGAATGCCGTTAACCCTGGGTGATTGAGCCGGGGCCTGATTAGACGTCTGCGAATGCGACTGAGGTTGTGTTGCTGCTTGAGGTGAACGCTGTGTGGCCGCTGACAACCGCTTCGGCGACTGCGCCGATGTATGAGCTTGCTTGGGCTGGTTCGCAGTTGATCCCTTAGTTTCGTTCTCTTTGCGTCCAGGAACAAGTGGATCGGTCTGAACCTTGGGTGTGGCGTTCTGTGCAACGGACGATGACTGATCGGCTCTCGGCGGGTAATCACCCTTTCTTATGACGGTCGGCGAAGGAGATCGGGTCTCGTTGATTGGCGAGAGGTGCTGAGCGTCGATGCTCAACTGGTGACTGTTCATCCTGTTGTCCCGGGTGGCGAGGTCGAGTGGCGCTATCACACCGCTTTGCTGCCTTGAAAGGGCTCTCTGGCGTAGAGATGTCTGAGTGCCATTGACAACTTCCGGTTGCACCTGCGTTTGCGAGGCCCACGCATACTGGTTCATTGACATGAGAGCGATTCTGTCGCGGAAAGAGGGATCATCGACAGGCCGAGGCGCAGAAGGCGAGGTCAATGCTGCTGCCGCTGCTGCGTTGGTCGCGGTCGGGGTAGTGGTACCGTTGACAATCAGCGGAGTCCGCTCGGAAACCGGAGTCTGGGCTGGTTCAGGCCTGGTGGAAGACTGGACATCTCCCTGGTCAACAGCATGGCCACTGATACCAAGCCCTTGAACCTGTAGTGACTGTTCCTGAGATAGCCGCCTTGACCCATCAGTGTTGGGATCAGCAGCAAGTCCTGTTGGGTCGTGACGCTGTAATGGCGTGGAACTTGTCCGCAAGGATGACCCGGTGCCATTGACTACCAAAGGTCGTGAGGCTGTCCGAGGTCCGTTGGGATTGACCGCAGTTGTTGCTTGACCCGGTGCGGCTGCGGTTCCGCCCGTGGAAAAAGCTCGAGCATGCCCTAGAGGAGAGGGCGACCGCGATGTTCTTCGCATTCTGCGATCCAAAATAGTCTGCGGGACTTCGGTTGACAGTCTTCGACGTCCCTGGGCTGGCTGTGTCGAGTCGCCAAAGGCAATAGCATTGGGAGGACCTTGCGAGCGTGCCGGGCTAGATGTGTCTGAAACGTAGTATCCCAAGTAAGCTCCTTCGTCCGAGGCTGGCGACTTGCTCGCAGGGTGCTGGGGGGCCTCGTCGTAAACAGCATCGCCAGGAATGAAGCTTGGGATCGGAACTCCATTCACCTGTCGTGCAGGATTCGCGCTGCCGTTTGTCGGGGTGCTGGTCCCGGGAAAGCCTTGACCCTGCTGTGTCGCAGGGGCGGAACGTGAAGCAGGTTGCGATTGCGACCTCAACGAACTTCCAGAGGTCGAAGCGCCAGACTCTGTTGTCGCCGAAGATCTCTGGAGCCCTCTGCGATACTCTGGAGTGGTGGCCGTTGCAGCAGTAGCCGGCGAGGAAGCGTAGGCAAGCCCGGACTGGCCATAGTAGGCGGCAGCCATCGGAACGCCGTACATGCTGTACCAATCCTGAGGGCCGGCGATGGGAGCACTGAGTGGAGGGTTGTCGAACGAGTTGGTCCTAGGGCGTTCTGAGCCTTGCTGCGAGGTCGAGGACGAGCCTTGCATCCTTTGGGCAGCATGCATTTGGGCAGCCATCTGGGCCTGGACTTGCTGATAAACCTGGGATTGGGTGTAGAGCTGGAACCGGATGTTATTCTCTTGCTGTAACTGGGCGGCCATGGCTGCACTCACAAGCGCGGGGTATTGTTGATGTGACTGGGCCTGCTGCGCGTACCACGCAAGCTCCTGGGGAGTCATTGCCACCGAAGGCATGTACATGGTGTTAGTATCATAGGCTACGCTTGAAGAGGCTCTTCGGTTCGAGTTCGTGTTCCGGTGGAAGTTGTTGGGGTGCCGTCCGCGGTAGTTCCCACGCCCACCTCTTCCAGAATTTTGCTGAGAAGAACTGCGAATCATGACGGGTCGCGCTTGTGTTGGCGGCCGTTGGAATGTCGGTGTTTCTTCCTTGGGGTAGACATACTTCTCGCAGCACTCATCCAGCTTCCCTTCCGAGATGAGGTCGAAAGCTCGCCGCAACTCCAGATGAAGTCCGCGGAAAGAATACTCGTCTGCAGTATTGCCCAGGTTGCGGATGGTGTTGAATGGCTCCTCCACACACAAATGGTTATTAATGCCGATGTGCCATCCCTTCTCCTGCTTCGTCACTTTTCGTCCGAGACGGATCGAAATGGCGTTATTGTCGTAATCGAACTCATGCGCGTAAAAACGAAAGAACTGGAAAAGGAGCTCCCCAAGCGAGGCCTTATTCCTGTCGCCGAACCCACGTAACTTGTCCAAATCGTCCGCAAATGCACTTTCTGGTCCGCCTCTCTTAGGTAACCGCTGATGCTGTCGCTGGTGAAGCGAAGGGAGAACCGGGGGGTCACGAAGCTGCAGGAATCCGATAATCAGGCAGATCCACGTGTACGAACTGAGGGTGCCGCCAAAGGCTGGTTCGGTTAGCAAACACTGACACATAAGAAGCCAGCACGCGGGAAGCCATACCAGCGTCGTTGACGATCCTCTGCCGCGTCCAGTACTTGACGATCATAGCCAACGGCCGCACACGCGGGTCAATCTCTACGTATGTTCGGACCATCCTTGTGTTCTCTAACGCCAAGGTGTTGTTCACATTCATGTCGCAGGCGAGGCCGAGTTCGGGGTCCCAAATCTTGACAATGGGCACTTTCGCGGCGGAGATACAGACGACCTTCTTCATGCCCTCTGTTCAGGTTTGGTTGATTAGCGAATGTTGGGAAACCAGGAGCATACGACATACTTCGCGCCAGCAGATCTGCAATTATGCAAACTCCCTCCAATTCCTTCCACGGCGTTGTAATACAGATGTCGACTGTTTGGAGCGTTAGTGTTGAGCACAGTGGAAGGCGGACAAAAAGAAAGTGAGATGGCCACGAACCGTCCGAGTCGTCCGAACACAGCAAGTTGCCAGATGAACCGAAGAGGTTCACGCGGATGTCATTTCCAGGCCATTCCTCGTTGAATATCCTCTCCAACTTAACGACGAGCTTTTGACGGTTCTCCTCGACTTTCGCGGTCGGTGTTAAACGGTCGTACAATTTGCGCATATCTGTGGTCAACTTTCGCTCCTCGTCTTCTGACAGCTTGCTCTTGACCCTGTCCAGACTCGTCCGCTCCAACTTGTCGCTCCCTATGCTATAAGGCATTCTCCTTTTCGAGTTCATTTGTGACGTCTCATACTGGCAACCGCCCATGAGTCGCGGAGGCAAAGGTCGTAAGGAGGGGAGGTTGCTATTTGTCTCCGAGTAGGCAGAGCGAGGGGAATGGTTGTTCGTTGCCGTGGGCGATGGCTCTCGGGACTCGAATGAGAAGTTTCTAGCATGCTGCTGA